TGTAGGTGGGGATGCTGCTTAGCCATGACAGGGGTTGGTATCTCATCACGAGCATCGGGAATTTGCGTGCACTCGGTTGCTGGTGGCAGATTGAGTTTGACACCATCCAAACTTTCAATGATAAATCCTGTAGCGTATCTACCAGATGTTTGACAGCTACCATTGCAGGATGTGATCCTATAAGACACTTCTGGCTATATCTGTCTCTTATACACATCTAGATGTGTATAGTTTTGTTGCTCTGGTCGTCTATCAAGGCATATGTCTTTACAGCAGCTGATTTGTCATCTTGATGAGTCACAATCACTTGCACCACCTTTGAGCAAGACTTACTGTTGTTTATATTCTCGCTCCCACATATTTGAGCGCATGCTGTTGTAATGTTCTGCTGATCTTTATCAATTTGAGGTGATGTTCTTTTGATGTGCATCGAAGTCATGTGATCATTACTCTTACATATCCCACATGATACAGTTGCCGTGCAACCCCTGTACCGGTGAGATGTCGAACGGAGACATCTGAAGCAAATCCCATGCTCTTTAAGAAGGTGCTTCTTGTCTGTATGAGACCTCACCTCAAATGCCCTACAATTAGGCAAGTCATGTTTGCTGTTCTGATGTAGTGGGCAACAGCCGTTTTCCACCTTATTTTCTTGACGTGAACCTTTCAACTCAGTTTTGTTCACCATCACAGATGAGCGCCATGACTTTGTAGATGTCTCATGGCTCAACATTTCAGCTGCGAGCTTGCTTGATGAGCCATAAATGGGATCATTCACTTTTTTGGCCTCTTCTTTGACGAAGGCTGCAAATTCTACAAATTTCACTGCTTTCTTTCTTTCCTTCAGTCTGAAGACTCTGTTCCGCCAGCGATCCTGCAGTTGAGTCGGCAGTTTCAGCATTAACTTCTTAATATTGTCTGGATAATCCAGAACTTGAGTGGCTTTTATGCTCTCGGCCGCGTTACTGCACTCCACAAGAAATAACGAAAATTCGTCAAGGGTTTTGACATCACCCTGTTTGATGGAAGGCCAATCCAGTGCCTTTCTTATGAACGTACCTGCAATCACTTCCTCTTTCCTTCAGTCTGAAGACTCTGTTCCGCCAGCGATCCTGCAGTTGAGTCGGCAGTTTCAGCATTAACTTCTCTAAACCCTGTTACCACTTTGTTGGCTGCACCATATGTCAGTTGCTCCAGGTAATTCATACGTTCGTCATCAGAAGTCGTATTGGCTACTATCCTGGCTTGGAATTGCCTCAAGAATCTTCTGTACTCTAAAGGGTTACCCCCGAACTTTTTCAATTCCTGGGTTGGTTTTCTTAGGTTTTTAACGATTTCTTGTAATCCCATATCACTTGATGTCCTTTCCTTTTCAGGTGTGTGAACTGGTACATGTGTGACAACTTCCAGTGTCTCCAGCTTAGGCATTTCAACATTTGTTGTCATTGTGGCAAAATCTTTAGGTGGAGGGATGATCTGGTCGATCATTACGGAGCCTTCTGGAGTCTGGTTTAAGAAAGGCGTGGGAACTGGTCTGGCTGGTGCAGGTTCTCTATCAGGTGTAGTCTCGGGGTTGTTAGGTAAATCTGTATGTTGACATTGGACGCTTGGCAAAGACATAACGTACTGGGAGACTCTCTCCTCTGGTCGATCATGTGGCAGGTCCACGTGATCGCTCCGCTCACTGTAGCGGGTTAATTGCTCCTCTAACATTGCTGCCCTCGCTTCGGCAGCTACCAAGGACTCTTCTTGTTCCAAACGTTCTGCCTCCAGCTGGGCTTTCAAGGCATCCATTTTTGCCCCTGCCACTTTCTTGCCGTAGGCTGCACGAGCGGCCTGCATTGCCGCATCCGCCCGAGCTTGAGCAGCCGTTAACTCTAGCTGGCTCACTGAGCTCTTGATGCTTGACATCCTGTAACTCATTTTACTGTTCTGGTCTCTCTAAGGTGCCGGGGCGCCTTCTATATACCAGATGTATAACCCGCAATAAGGAAACAATACGTCGTGTAAGGTGAACGGTTGTTTATTTCCAAACAACAGGTAAAACTACAATGATAGAAAATATTGAAAATACAATGATTCAAATAATAATCATGGTCCACATAACTCACTCAATCAATTAAATATCATTGCCTATTTAAACATGTAACACAATGAGTTGTGACATAAGAGCCTTTATAAGCACATTTGTAAGAGAAAATGGAGCTAAAATTAAGCTAATCAATACGGCGAAACTGTCCTGGTTTAGCGTTGCTAGCCATCACGAAACACGCCGCCAACGAAAAAACACTATGGCGAGCGAAAGGCGCAGCACAATATAATTAAATAACAAATGAAACTGACAAACGTTGTTACATATCACTTTGCTTTTCTTTATTTAGCAATCGTCTTAAAACTCAAGAATTCATCAGTTCTTTATAGAATGTTACTGCTTTATATACAGTGAGTACGTACAGGCATAAGGCTTATGTCTTTATTTAGTCCAATATCTGTTTTCTTTTGTGTTTAATTCGAAGATTCATTAAATGGTGGATCAAAGACTTTGAAATAGGGGGATCCATTGGTGGACTTCTCTGAAGGAGGGTATGTCAGTCCCCGGACCATGGTTGGAGCTGGAGGTATGGTATGTGAGCTCTTAAAGTTTATACTGATACAGTACCTTCAACGAGGAATGAAAAAATGAAGGGCATTTAAAAAAAAAATATTATTTTCACCAAAAGTACTTTATAATTTGTTTCTGTGAGTGTATAAATTTTCAGTGTTTAAATGTGAATATCTGAGCTCCCTTTTCCCATATACAGTACAGTAATGCAACATTAGCTCCGATATGCATCCAGGGTCTTCCATGTCATAGTTCAACTCTAGCCCTGGGAGCTCTGTGATGCAGGATGTGATCTTCAGCCTGCTTTACTATTCGTTGAAATTCCTGAACCTCAAAAGAGTAGTCACAATATTTTGGATGCTCTATTTTCAATGATGGATGAGGTACCTGGAACATGAAAAAAAAATGCTTTTCATTCCTGTTGTCTTTGAATAGCGCCGCATATGCAAAGCTAATGTGTACGTTACTTTTAAAGTTCCACTAACAGAATTATTTTGATATTCTTTAAAGTTAGTAGAGATCATTTGATCTGTAAATGCACAAATAAATGTTGTAATTAAATTTTTGAGGTTTTCCCCAGAAAATGTCACACCCAGAAAAATCAATCTGATATGACTGAATCATCTGAGCATAATTTTGTGAGAGCAGTTTTGGAGCAGTTCAAACTTGCTGTGAATTTCTTCTACGTCATAAATTTTCCTTCCTTGGAAAAGTCACTTTCCCTATCTTTGGCTGCAGATTATCAAATTATATTTGAGAAAAACATGTGATATGCCTATGTATGGTCATGATGATGTCATCACATCATGACCATATATAGGCACAAAATAAAGTAATAGCTCTTGGCTCATAGGCTGGAGCAGTCATCTCTCTTTCCTTGGTGTTTGGGCCAGACTGTGCAAGGGTGTGGGGGGTTTGTCACTCCTCCCACACATCAAGTCTGTCTTACCTTCCCACCATATGTGACGTCTCGCTACAAAATGAGTCTCATCATTAGAAAATCCAAAAATGAGTTTATATTATATTTTGGTAGATCATATTATAAGCTTTAATTTGGTCTTTGAATGGCTTAGCTAGGAAAAGTAGATCTAGAGATGTGAGCAGTTGAAATTTAGGTGTATGAGAACAAGGTTTTGAGAAAATTGGCCTCAAAGATAAACTAACCTGTTTTATTTGATGAAAAAAAATAAAAAATTAAAATCAAAATTTTGTAAAAATGTTGCCTTTGACCTATTTTGGTGAATATCTCAATAGCCTGGTTCTCACGAGAGCCCTAGAATCCGGATCGGGAGCTAACTGTTAGCGCTAACCGTTAGCACCTGCGTGAGAACGCCCGATCGGTTAGCACTAACCGTTAGCAGTATCCGGATACCGCTAACGGTTAGCAAGCACTATCGGTTGAGCGCGTTTTTATCATCAACCACCCACACATACGCGTTTACAATTTCCAGTTTCTTATTGGCCAATGATTCGATCACCATATTTTTGGTATCCTGATCGGGATTTTCTCGTATGGACGCACGGCATCTAACGGTTAGCAGGATCCAGATCCTGCTAACCGTTAGCAGCCGTGTGAGAACATAGCCAATATGATTTCACCAACGATGCATCTCATTTCGTGTTGAGACCTCACATATGGCAGTACCCATTTATACTCCTGGGTAGAGAGACAAACATAGATAAAGTGTCTTGCCTAAAGACACAAGCAATCCGCTTCACAAATAATGAATCTAAAACAAAAATTTGAACTACTGTACCTGGTTGTGTTTCTGTAGTTTCGACTCGTCTTCCCATGTCAGGTAATACAGACCACGGAGCCGACTTAAACTTGCATAGCAGGTGTCTTCACAATTATACCTACAAAAACAATGTGTAATACAAACATATACAAAACAGAGATTAGCATTCTGTATGTAAAGAAATTTAAAATAAAATTGGCAGTATACTACCGTATTTTAACGCTAATTCTGGCAAGAATCCTTTAGATAGGGACACGTCACTAATTAGATGACGAGGCATTTGGCTACCTTAAGAGAGTCACAGTTAACAACTTTTAAGTGAGTCCACCTTCCTATCCATGTTGGACATGGAAACAAATCTTCAATGGACATTTCAGAGTGTTTATCAATCAAACTTAACAACTGACCAATCAGAAAGGGGCCAGAAATATGCCACGTGTTGTCTTAAGCTGGACACTCACTGCATCGTACGTCGCACGACGAAACCATGTTTGCTTCCAGTGAACGATAGACATCGCAAAGCCGTCTGCTGATTGTCAGTGGCAATCTGAACGGATCCTCATTAAAAAGACGATCTGTTGGGTCTGCGTCTTCGCGTGCATTCTTCAACACGTTGCCGTCGAGTCACCGTCGCACGCAGTGAGTAACCGGCTTTACAAACACGCATGATTACAAACTTCTTCTGTGGGAATTTAGCAACAATATCTAAGAGGTAGGGCTTAAGAATGTAAATACATTCATTGAAAAGTTAGTGAGAGACAACCCAGTGGATAATCCAGGAAATTAAAATAGAGGGGGCCCAGGGAGTGACTTTGACAGATGGAGGGTCTATATAACCTCATCTCCACCATGGTTGGGGCTGACGTAAACAATTTACAATTATGTCACCTCTAGATGGCCGGAAATGGCAATTTGAATGTAATTTTCTTTTCCCCTAATTTTTTACAATTTTGGAAAGATTTAGGGGTCCGGCCCAGCTGGGGACCTCACCTTGAATCCGCCACTCAGACCACTGAAAGCGTACGTAATGTGTACCCAAGATAAAACAGCATAGCAGATGATGATGAGGAGGGCCTATTTATTTATTTTCTCATGTGAAGGACATAGAAGCCTTTTCATGCATTATGCTCTTTAGATTAAGTGTAACGTCGTCGTTGTCGTTATTATTATTATTACTGTAGCAGAATAGTCCATTGATTTACGAAATGAAAGTTTCGAATCATGATATTATGATACTTGTGTTTGACCAATAAATAAATCTTGAATCTTGAATCTTGAGTCCAAAAACACACATGATGTACATTTATGCAGCCATTTTGTGGGTTTTTGCAACAGTATATAAGGGTGAGGTATAGTGGAACAATAATTTTATTAAAGACAGGAAAGGAAACATACATTTCAAATACGACAGCTCTTTGAGGAAGAAACAGAATGTGGGTAAAGCCAGCACCATGGATACCAATAAGAATATCAGTGGAGTGAATCAACTGAAATAAAACAAATACAACAATTTATTAATTGTGAAAAGCATCTTGTATATATAGATTCATATTTATTTTCATTTGTCCAAAATGGAAACAGCACTGAGTATATTTCAAGCTATTAAATATTATACATATTCATATCCAAAATATGATTCCCTTGTTGTTAGTCTTTTTAATTTTACTGATTTTATTTTTCTGTACTTTTTGTATGATGTATATTTATGTGTTTTACTGTATATTAAATTTTAATATTTGTAATTACTAGATGTGAGTGGTTCTCTGACATTTGTTATAGTAATTAAGTTTACATAGATACCAGGCCCTCCCATCCAGCTGTCTTGATTGCCAATAAAGAATATGCATAAACATATTATTTATTTAATAAATTTCCTTGAGAATGTAGATTATTCTGACAATAAATCTACAAATTGGCCCATTCAACAGCAAGCAAGAGAGTTAAAGTAACATTTCAATAACGAAAAATGAAAAAAAAAAAAGAATTTAAATACAACAATGCAAAGTTAGAATTGTGGTACCAATTCGTTCACTTTGATAGGCTGGACAGGGCAATTTATTGCAACACAACCAAGAACACAGAAGAGCATAGAAAAACTGCACTTTACCAAGTACATAATTAAAAGCTATTAAAAATGTGTCCTCTCTATCGCTCAATTACTACACTATCACAAATGGCCTCAGTATATTAAGCATCCCTATTTTTTTCTTGTTAATGTGCTTCCTCTCAGTATTTAGTTCCTCTTTATGTTTTCTAATTACTAACATTATTGACAGTTCGCAAAACTGGTCTATCCTGTTTGCTATATGTATGCTACACCCACCCATTGCTTAACAATGTTTTTGTAGGTAGCTTTGATCAGTAGGGTATAAAGAATGCTTTGTTTATTCATAGCTATGTCAAATACTAGAGGTAATGTTTTGATTGGTTAACCACTTTTGGTGCTTGTGCATATAATTCTTGCAAATATGGATAATTTTTCATTGCTGATGACATAATTAATGTCAAAATATTGAACCCCGACATGGTGATGTGCATTTCGATACTTGGAGTATGTACTATACTATCTTACGGTTCCTCTCATTCCATGACTGGACAAAAAATTCAACCGTAGTCAAACACGATTTTGAAAAGTTAGAGTACCAAATCACTTGGAATTCTCGTTAATTAATGTACCTGATGTTACTGTACATACATGTTAATGTGCTTTTTGAAACAGTTTAGAGCTGCTATAAGAACCATGCCATTTAATTTATTTTACAAGCAAAAGTAATCATAAAATATTTCATTTCAAAGCTTAACATTAAAAAACTTGCATCTTTAAAATATAAAATAGGAAATATTAAATTTTATAATCAAAAATTAATATTTCAAAAATGCAAAATATCAAAAGTAGCACTACTTTCTAGATATATAGTTTTTAAAATGCATGTATTAATATTCAACAATCATAGCCTACCATTAATTGATCCTTCAAGGATAAATTTCTGAAGCAAAACATCACCAAAGATGTTACTCTGGCTGTCATAATATAAATGTAAATTAAAACACAAGGACTGTATAAATATATAAATGTGTGAAATTTTACCTGCTCAGGTGCACGACTTTGACATGTAAATTTGGTCTTTTGGTTAAAGCAGCAACCAACTGAAAATGGTATCAGAAAACATCCTAAAAATTAACTCCAGTACAGTATATTATGACAGACTGAAATGGCGTGTAATACAAAGTATTACTAAACTATTACTATAAAAGGTGACAGATGTTATTAAGCAAACTTACATATTAAAGAGAGCTCAGATGTTAATTTCACAATAATTAAACACAATTATTTACATCATAAAGTAGGAGAATATAGCGTACCAACTGTAAACACATAAACAGTATAATATCTACATAAACAGTACTAGAAACATAAACATTTGCATTCGTTAATGACAAAAATCAAGTATGAATAAGTATAGTATACAATTACATTATACATTAAATTGTTGTTCTACGCTAACTGAAATCTTTGCTTTTCACTCTATTCACTCTATCATAGTTTTAACACAACATTTTTTTTTTACCTCATTTTGGTTGACAATGTTACGATGAGAAGCTTTCCTCTCAATTAACGTCACTTGGATTTCATCCACCTGAAATTGTGTGACAATAAAAATTTACTGTAGTAAAGCACAACACAATCACACGACGAGCCATGAAGATACCATTTTAATTAAGACAACAGAAAAAGGTGGCATGACCCTTTGAAAAACCTCAAAGGGCACACAATGTCACCAGACTGTAATGACAGCACCAGCAGGGGTCAGGACTCCTTCTCCCTCTCCTGGCCCCCATCTTCCGATGCCATGATGAAGTCATGAAATTAAAAATATTAATTTGACTATCCAAATAACATTATTTTGATTGAAAATCCCTAATATTGAGGTCTAAAAGCACAATTTTGGGCCATACTAAGCCATAAAAACTCTCTCCAATAACCGAACCAGTATTCTGGGAACCTGGTGACCCCTTGTTTAAGATTTGTTGGACCCCCTGTTGAAAAATTTCTGGAGCCCCGCTGCCAGACTGGTGACGTCATACTTGTCTATGCCATAGCAATATAAGAGTAAAATTACAATTTTTACGTTTTCACTACACACATCTGCAAAATCATATGTGTATTCACCTGTTTGTGCTCAACTCGGAGGCGATGCAAAACATGTTGGGAAAAGGCATTAATGAAGCTGCTACCATGGCAACCAGGGACAACCGGCATGTTGTAGTAGAAACCCTTGACTGTGCGTGATGGTACAGTGAACACGGCATCTTTCAAGCATACCTGAGTGTAGAGTACAGAAAAAACAATAAATACATATAATATCTATAATAGCCTAGGGCTATGTGTAGACATTGTTGCTGACAGTGTCACAAAACTCTGCCTAACCCTCACCAGACTGGGCAAGTGTGATAAAAATGTTAATTTTGCACCCTGTTCATATCTTTTGCCACCTTTTACCTTCCAGAAATGGAGGATGACACACCTGCGCCAGTCATCAAGAATTATGTTTGTTTGCCAGATAGAATGGAAAAGTCTGTGCAGCCATTCGGTAATGCCTTCTCCGCCATCCTTCATAAGCTCAGAGGTGATTCCATCAATGCCTGCAGCTTTACCAGCTTTTAGTTTCTTGACTGTGAGTTCCATTTCTTCAATAGAAGGAGGATCAGAAATTATTCGGGATCGGATTGAAATTCCTTGAAGAGGGTATGAATTTTGTTTTTGAGAGCGGTTCAGAAGAGAGTTGAAATGATCACGCCAGCGATTTAACTGTTCAGAAAGAGAGGTGAGTGGCGATCCGTTAGCTGATTTCACAAGTGGGATTGTATTTGATACATGTTTGCCTTAGAGAAGTTTAATGGCTCTGAAGAGCTTATGGTGTAATTTGTGACTGGCAGCATGCTCGGCCTGTTTTAAAATCTTTTTCAGCCAATTTGCTTTGTCACGGCGATTTACGTCGGGGGCAGCGAAAATGCTTGTACATGTTAGCTTGTTGAGAGAGGCGAACCACTCTGCAGTTATCAATTATTTTCAGTGTGATTTCAGTAATCCATTGCTTGGAGCGTCTTCTGACAAAACAAAGTTTTGTGGTTGCTGCATTATGGATGGTGTAACGGCATTCATCCCATATATGGTTGGGTTGTTCAACCTCATCACTCAGAGTTGTAAACCTGTTTAAGATATCCAAGCGATAGCTTTCTGCAGAAGGGATGTTTTGAAACCTGCTGTAGTCATACCTCCTTTGATGGTCAAGAGAGGATGGTTTACGAGATTTGAGATGGAGATTTACTGCAACACCAACAAGGCGATGATCAGTGTTTGAAATTGCATTCCAGCGGTGACTTACAATGATGTGGTCGATTTCCTTTTTGGTGTAGCCATTGTTGCTGTACCAGGTATAGTCTCTGTATGTCTTTCCATTGAAAATTAGCTACTACTGTATATATCTCTAGATGGTTAAGAGGAGCACAGTTCAAGAAGGCGTTCGCCATTATCATTTCTGACTCCAGATCCATGGGGCTCAGAGATGATTCAAAGCCAGTGCGGTCTGTGCCAATGGTTGCATTGAAGTCACCCAATAACATGAGTAAGTCACGTTTGCAGCAGAGGTTAATGACAGATGACAGTTGGTTATAGAAGTCCTCTTTGGGTTCATCCTCTGAGTAATCAGTAGGAGCATAGAAGACTATAATACAGAGATGCCCATATGGTTTTCTAAACCTGGCAGTGAGTAGGCGTTCGTTTACGGCTTTCCAAGAGATTAGTGATCGGTATGACTTCTTGTTTATTGCAAGTGCAACACCTTGGCGACGGTGTCCATCAGGTCTGCCATACCAAAGATAGTGAAAGTGGTTTGATTGTAGTTGGCCGGTGCCAAGCCACCGAACCTCAGTGAGGTCAGCGAGAGATCTTCAGTTTAGACAGTTCTCTACTTATCAGGTCTGTAGAGCCAGTTTCCGACATAGACAATACATTCCATGTAGCAACACGGGTGTTAGAGCGCAAGTCAATCCGTTCCGAGGTCGTCAGCGGGTTTATTCTTCCATTCTCGAGACTTTCTTTTGTCAGAGTTCCTGTGAATCAAGACCTAGCATTAACAGACGCATAGCCCTAGCCACCTCGGATTTCAACAGCCTAAATAATATCTGGACAAATAGCCATGTCTCACGAAATACCAAGCTGCGACTTTCTCTCTTGTGACATGTGGACTCTCACCATGTATCTTTCAGCTAAACTTGATGCGTTTGACAGTAAATGTCTCCGACGTATACTACGAATTCACTGGTTTGACAGAGTGACAAACACATTTGTGAGAGAAGCTACATCACAACCATCTGTCACTAAGAAAATGTGTTCCTCTCGTCTATGTCTGTTTGGACACCTGGCCCGAGCAATGCCCCAGCAAGAGGCTATCCAAATTATTAAAGCTGTGCCAACCGGGGACCTTTCCACCAGGTCGTCCCTGTATGAGATGGTTCAGGCCCCTATCCAGGGAGGTTTTTATGGTTTGGGAGAACCCCCCTTTTCTAGCAAACCCCCTCTTTTCTGGCGAACCCCCCTCTTCAAATTTCCCAAATAAGTCCTCCAACCCAAATAATGCACTGCAGACCCACCCAGACAAAGACCTTTTCAAACATATCTGCTTTTATAGCATTATTTAGACCCATAAAGCACAAAAATCCCCTTGCTTTGCTTCGACCGTGGACCTTACGCCCAGAAAACCCCTCCTTGTAAGAACCTGCTACGGGTCTGTGGTTTGACCAAATAAAACAAGATGCACAGACACTTGGTCTTCAACCCAATGACATCTGGGAGCTCACCAAAAACAGACCAGGATGGAGGCAGACTGTCAGAGCCGCTATGCCCCTGTAAAGGATTATGCGTATCAAGCAAGCCTGTTCATATTATGATTAATTTTTGAATGTTGGAGAAATTAATTGCAGTGCTTGTTATCCATAAAAAAATTCCAACATTTTAACATTTTTAAATGCAATCTAAAGGAATTAAACCCACCCCCACTCATGGGCTTCACCCCGCGAGTGTTGCTTTGCGACAAAAACATTACGTTTCGTTTTGGACTTCCTAATTTTTATTTCATGCTAAACCCTTGCCTCCCAAGGCGCATAAAGCTACCTCCCAAACTTACAGTTTTGTTCTTCCATGTATCCAGTGAGATGACTGGATTATTTGTAAATGCATTCCACATGAAGTTGAAATCATCTCTGTAACCAAGACTACTCTTCAAAAGAAAAAAAAATAGAAAATTTAATTAATTTATTCAAGATTTTACTAAAAACATTCATGTTATACAAGTGGTCCTCTCACAAACTGGCTATTCTAGGAGCGTAATACAAAGCCAGAGAGGTGAACAGGGCTCAAGCCCGGGGAAAGGAGCTGAAATATCCTGACTGAGTAGTGCAGTAGTTGAGTAATAAAATTTGTTCATTTACTTATTATTATTACCACTACGACCGACACTAAATGAATAACAATAAGAGGGTCGGAATGTCTAAGAATAAACGATGTAAAACAAAGTATTAAATTAGTATCTTGTATAATATCGAATAGCAGACTCTGTGTGGCCGGCAGTTATCAAAGCTATACACAAAAAAGCCCTTCTGGACTATCAAATTTTATTTGTCAAAAAAACTTGAGACATGTCTAGATATGGTCATGATGACATCACCTCATAACTATATATGGGCATACACCAGAAAATCTGATAATCTGGACATAATGTTAATAGAAATGAATGTCAACTTACAGTATCCCATCTGATGATATTAATATCTTTACTGAAGGTAGATGCAAGATGCTGTGTGAGATAAAGATTGACAAAATCACAGAACCTGTGATACATATTAATACCTGCAAAAAACAAACCCATCAAATTAAAAATATATTAATGCATGAATGGTGTTACAGAACAATCTAAAGCTTTGCGACACAAAAATATTGTACGCATATACAGTATAAATAGTCATGACGTGCCTACGCATGGTCATGATGTGCCTATTATATGGTCATGATGTGCCTATATATGGTCATGATGTGATGTCATCATGACCGTATTTGATAGTCTGGACGGGCTTCAGAGAAAAAAGACAGCATTCAATAAAGCTGTCCACACTATCAGATTCTCTTTGACAATAAACAGGTGTTATGCCCATATATAGTCATGCTGTGCCTATATATGGTCATGATGTGATGTCATCATGACCATATTTAGGCATGTCACATGTTTTTGTCAAATAAGATTTGACAATCTGGACAAGGTTTCATAGAAAAAAGACAGCATTCAATAAGACAATATTTATACAATAAAAAGCTTCACTACAAACTTCATAATAATAATGATTGATCAGATGAATATATGTGGCAAAGACAAGCCAAAACTCCTTAATAATGAGTAGTGATACCTCTTATACTTTTTTAAATCAACGACTTATTTCCTTGTATATATTTCTGTGTTTTATATTTTTAATGTCATGTTTTTATGATGCTTGTAATGTCGAGATGAATTGCCCCATGTGGGATTATTAAAGATTGATTGATTGATTGATTGAAAACAGTCACTCGTTGCATAAAATCAATATTTAGTTATTAATACAGACTTAACAGTATACTGAGGGGTATCAAACATGGTGAAAAAATCATTTAAATCCGACATTTCTTTATGAAGTTGCAGGAGTTTATAAATATGCAGCTGTTTAATGAACAATATGCGAGAAATCAGCCTTCGAAGTTTATGGTTTTTGGGTTTTCTCAGGCATAAACCATCACAAAATTGTTAATTATTGTTGTTTTAACACTGACAATGTGCAAAATAATTGCATAACATGATGTATAGATATATAAAGGTTAGTTAAATGCAATAAAATAGATTTTTAAAAATGTTAACATTCCAGCATGTTTTGGCCATTATCTCTGAAACAGGATTTGCGACGAGTGACTGGTTAGGCTTGACTTTACCACCTATATTATTTATAATTTACGAGATATTAAGTACAAAAATATATTTTTTTTTCTGATGACAAACCTGAATCCATTTTCATAAAAAAAGATGGTTGTTCTATGAGAATGTCACAATCATTATTTGTAAAATTTACAGAGCTGAAGCGAGACAATTCATTGAACCTGGAATAGAAGAAATAAAAAATTATCAATATGGCGGCAATAGTAATACACAGGTGTAAAAGGTGTATTATACCTGGAAATCGTTTTTAATGTCATATAAAAAATAGTAAAAACATAATTGGTTATATGGAATTTCAGTTAGAATAGGCAACTGTAGAGCAGATCACTTGTTTATTGTTGCATTCTAATTCCTTCCTTTTGCAGAAGCACAAATTTTTTTTATACACAAAAAGCACTTTACTCAACCAAGATTAAAGATTAGATTTTTAGACTCCAAAATGAATATAATGATTTATTATTTGTCCTTATTCAACTTTGAAATTGGAAATTTGGTCTGGACGGCCACTTTTACCATGATGGGTTGGACGAATTGGCTTTATACTCAACTTTGAATTGGCTTACTCAGCTTGGCCTAGCCAAGTTGGGCCTGGTCTACTTTAACAAATCCTTTATATTCTTCAATTCTATCAAATGTTGCATTAAACTAAAGCATATTTTGGACAGCCTATTTTTTTTTTCTGGCCAAACCCCTGAAGTACAAAACATGAAATTTGTTTTCTTGAGCTGGAAATAAACAAAATATACATTCAAATTAAATTACAAGACAAATATAAAACAAATAAAAAATTACAAAACAAATAAAAAATGTGCATACATTGCAAAAAATATTTAAATTACAGTTAAATTAATGATATACAATATATACAGTACAGTGAAAGAGAATCGAGCCGTACACAGTGTTGACAAACTCCAATGGAAAACGAACGCTAGTTGGGTTTAGACTGGGGTCTACGACACACGGTGCATGAAGTTTTAGCATTAACTCTTAGCCAAACACTGTTTATTATATTCTTTAGCATCTTCTACATTTGAAACAGACTTCAAATGTGTCTTACCATGATTGTAGTACTCCCGTTAAGGCAGGCTTTTCATACATGTTTATCTTACACAGACCACCAATATCACCGTCTGTGAACATGTCTTCACGAAACCTAAATGTTAATTAAATATTCACAAAAATACACATATTAACGTTAAATAAGTTATTTTTATTAGTGTAAATACAATAATATAATATTATCAATAATGATAATTATGATGATGATTATGAAGACAAAGATTATGATAATGATTATGATAATGAATTTAAAGAAAATCAATTTCTATTTTTTAAATCAATACTTGAAATTCAAACACCAGAAATTAGTCTTCAGGTTTTCGTGAGTTATCCATAATTTGTTTCACACTAAAAAAACCAAAGCAGCCGGGTGAAGTGAGTGCCCAACATCATGCAGGCATTGTGCCTTTGCGTTCCCCATAGAATCACGTTGGCCAACGACGACTCGGGCGCAATAAATCCCAGGCTTAAATGTACCTAAGCTCCACCTCCAGGCACTTTAAAACAGGATATGGTGGGACAAATTAACTATTGTTAAATCATTAAAAAAAACTTAGTCCTATGGCAATTACCTGTTAGTTTGTCTCCCATTTTCATGCAAAAGTCTTGTGAAATTTATTATGATATTGTGAGCTTTACAATACTCTAGATTCTTGCTGCAAACCATATAGGATCCATCCTGTAAAAAATTACCACAATTCCACTATGAGCACAACAAACAAATACTACTTTATTTTTAAAAGAACAGAAGGAGTAGTTACAGTCTCTTTTAAACACTAGATCAGCATTTCCCAAACATTAAATTTTTAAAAATAATTAGAAAATATATAATAATTTGTAAAAATAAAGAGAAAAATCAAAAAGAGAAGCCACATTTTTAAACCGGTGTGCACTGCTTGCAAAATCCTGTTTGGCAAGATGGACAGAAGCCTTCAGCATTGAAGTTTTTCCATTAATGAAAGAAGACGACTTTTTTTCCTTGGGAAGCACTTTGGTTATCGGTGTTGCACCGGCAACCCACCTTGTCAGAAACTCATAGGCTTTGAATTTTTATTGAGGCGTAAAACAATTGTAGGAAGCAATGGCTAGGTTTAGATATTTGATGTCCTTACTTGAATCTTTTTCTATTAAATTTATCACTGTGTTAATTGTATTTTCATAGTAATGATATCTAATATTTATAATCAGTTCTTTTCACTATTAGAATACTTACACAATAATCATTTTTTTTTCTTCTTCCAATGACAGAAATAACATGATTACTTTTATATGCACAGACACGTTTCGATGAAATGAAAACAATTGGCGGCCAATTTTTGGGTTGCATCCCACAGTTTGGAAATCATGTTCACTAGATTATAGTGTATGTACAAATTTTGAAATGTATTTTGAGATGAAAAATCATCATACCTTCTCTATTGCCTGGCAAACTTCGACCTGCTTTTTAAGTTCTTTTATATATCCAAAATCCGATGTCTGCCAAAAGAGATCTGACTGATTTTTTAAGTCAGTAGCCCTTTAAGAAAAAAAAAAGTATTATATAAAAATAATTAAAAATAATTGGAGCAAAAAATAGATGAGAAATAAAAACTAATTTATATTTTTAAATAATTCAATTCAATTTCATTTACCATCGTCATATGAAATTGTAAAATATTTTAGCAAAAAAAAAAAATTTTTGTTGCTAATTTTTCCACATTCAACATTGAGTTGGCATATATATAATTATACGTGTGCACCAAATCTAACATTAGATACCCAAAAATATAGAAATAAAAATACGAAACAGAATGACCTTGTAAATCATTGCTTCAGCACAGTAAGTTAAAAAAAAAAAAAATTTCGATAAATATTTGCCATGTGACTGAATTGATGAATGTTTACCAAAGTTTGTGTAAAACAGAACAAACTGGATAAAGAGGAATGTTCTTTCTATTACAGTCATCTTCATAGCCCCAACAAACATCTTTGTCTGCTTGTTTCTGCAAGAGAATAAATAATAATAAAAAATAAGAATTATTATTATTATCAAATTATTCAAACAGCATCTATAATCATATATTTCTATGTCATTATGAATAATAAAATATAAAAGGAAAGAATTATCTAAATGGGTAGAGCCAGCTATCAAAAATTCTCTTCACTTGATTTTAGTCAAGACTAGTGTATAATAATTTGTAATTACAGTATAGTCAAGTTCTGAAAACTCTATAGAAAATAGAGGCTGAAGAGTCATTATTCCCTGACAAAATTTTTAAAGGAAAAAAGCAAGCTTTGAACTTTCAGGCACAAGAGACACTAAAAAATAGGAGGCATTACATCAAATTATTGCCTGCTCAGGGATAGGAAAATGATATGCAAATGAAAATGATGACATCATTATTTCATTTCATTTATCTTTGCCTTGTACAAAATATAAGAAAATCGATGAAAAGGTAATCCATGTTTCCCAAAGAGCCGGCGGGATTGCCAAAAAGTTAAATAAATTACTATCTATGTGGCTCTCCAAGCAATGGGGAAAACACGCACGAGCAAGATAATAATATACAAAAATGTAGAAATATCAAAATTTATAAAAAATAATACAAGATACACATTTACATCTCAAAATTTAAGTTAACATAAGAATTCATAAGCAATATTCATCAAAATATTCAAATAGAATTTCAGAATAATATGTAACACAAACATACAATACACAAACACAAATATATTCATATACACAACATAATATACACAGACATACATTAAAATCTTAAAAAAGATATATATTTTCATCTCAAAATTGAGTTTACATAAGAATTCATTAGGCAACATCATGACTGACTTAAAATGATATGGATGACGGCAGTTATGATAATGTTGAAAATAGTGACATACAATAAAATTTAAGTATGATGATTAGCATGCTGGTGCTGGTGATGATATGAGATGATGTTGAAGATGATCAGATCATGATGATAGTTATGAAATTTGATGACAATGAGGATGATATTAACATACATTTTTTAAAAATATTTATTTATATAAAAAATAATACAAAATTTTTGTAAAATAATTATTTACTCTATCCATTTTACTGTTTTTTACTAGTTATTTTTTACTTGTTTAATATCATTTGAAATATGTTTATAACAAATACCTTATAAGGGCATGATGGAGCATATCTGCACTTATCGGCCTCTTTAGTTTCACCATGAAAAAAAAAGGGATAATGTGATATCGGAAGGTCAGGATCTGCAAAAATTGATTTCGTTCTCTGAACTTGCAAAAAACGGATGTCAGTGTCGTCAAGACAAAAATAACAGGTAAATATAAATAACAGGAACACAGTGACGGCATAAACAGTCATATCTATGAGAAAGAATGTGTCAACATTGAAATGAAATTATTATTTTTAAATATAGACATGCCAACAACAAAAACAGCCAATGGTTTGCTGCAAAATGGTAAATACAGAAAAACAAAACTGACAAACACATTACATACAAAACCTATTAGTAAATAATCATAGGGTTAATAAAGTAAGGTACCATAAAATTTAAGATAGGCCCTCCTACCTCTGCAATAACATTCTAATTTCTATTCTAGCTAGCTCAGTTTCCTCAGATTTGGTAGGTAAAAAAGTACGCCTAGCTACCTTTGGAGAGGAAAGGCCACCCTCTTTTTATAGATCCCTGCTCTGGGCCGGGCCTTTCATTCAGCCAAAGCCTTGCAGCTGAGCCTGCGATATCCTTCTTCACTACTTCTATACTCTAGCCTACTACTACTACTAGGCCTAGGGCTAGGCCAAGAAAGAAGGTCTAGTAGTACTACTAGTAGTAGTAGCCTCTCTTGATCACCGTCTTAATTTCTTATTGGACTGCAACTAACGTTAACTACCTATCCATAAACGAGATTTTATACTCAAAACACATCGTTTTCATTTGAGAAATTACCTGCAGCTGTGTTGTTATTGTCGATATGGATGATCGCATTTGCTGCCTGCTTCAGCGTGACCACGGTGAACAAATCAAAATAGTGAAATTATTAATTATGCTATACTGTGCTACGCCCCCAAAATGGATATATATACGGCCACGTTGGAGTATAGTAATAAAAAATATTATTATATCCACGGTGACCGTATATATCTATTTATCCGTATTTAATACTGATGAGTTTTGTTACTACATACACGTATATAGTACTTTTGTCATCAACAATCACCCCGTAAAACTGCTTGGCTACTATTTGGCCCAATAAAAAAAAAAAAATTAGTTTATCACTCCACCCCCCCCCCCCCCCCCCCACACCCCCCTCATCACTTTTGGGGAAAATTCTGATTTTTTTTTTCTCCAATCAACATATATTTTTGTTTCAAACGGCCGTTTTTCCATCTTTTTTCACTTGAAAAGCTCAGGATACCTTGCAAATATGTTTACTGGTACAACAAAAACATATTTTTAATATAAATTTATGACTTTTTATATAGGCCTATGTGTCCCTAACCATTGATTAACTCGTGAACTCGTTAGAAAAACAAAGCACCACCTAGAACTTATACAAAGCAATTGTTTTATTCGTTTAATACTCTCGACCATTTCGATTGAGATGCTTCAATCGTCTTCAGGAGAATAATATCTGCAGACACTCCAAACAGGGAAATACTTATATGTTTGAGTAGAGAGGCTGGATGGCGGTAAACTGACCAATGTGTGAAAGGCTAAAACATTTCCCTGTTTGAAGTGTCTGCAGATATTATTCTCCTGAATAATGTTTAATAATGTTTCGACGTGTCCCACGTCATTATCAGGTAATAACGCTTATGATTCTAACGGTCTAAATACTACCGGTAAGATATAAGACGAAACAAGCAAGTATAAGGGTAAGTGATGTATATTATAGAGGTCAGGAATACTATGGTAAGTCATGTATATACGAATTGGAATGAGAGAGTATTGTAATGAGTTGTTGGTTTGTTCATTGACGGGTTTCCCCAAGCAATGTTAAGGGCTTCATAAGATATAAGTATAAGTCCGTAACATGTAGTCTCGACTAACTGACATAGGTTCTTCGCATTTATGGCTTAGGTGTCGCGTTGTTTATAATAGAAAATACTAATACTAATTGGTATCTACTCACAACTGTAGATTTGTGAACGCTTGTGAGTGACCTTTTCAAAATATTTTCAATTTGGATGACTGACCAATCTATAGGCTAAATGTCGCTATCAATATCATACACATCCATTGACTAAATCAAGAGTTAAGAGCATAAACATTGACAATAGTACATAATGCATTTTTTTCTTGTTAACCTCAATTTTTGTATTCCATATGTCAATAGCTACAAGAAAAACACAATTTGTATCAAATACATCCAAAATTAGACATATGACACTGAAGTTTATTGATATTTTATGAAAAAATTTGCATTTTAGAAAAAGGTCGATGACCCTTTGACCTCTAGCGACGTTAATAATCTTCGGATTATTTTCTTTAAACAGCATATGATTAAGAAACTATTTAAGAAATAATATTGATGGGATTTTTAAATCACAGGTTATGGGCATAAATGTTACCCCTCCCTCCCATAAAAATATTGACCATAAAACACTAACGACCATTACAAATGACGCGAGTACATACAATGTATCCCTATATTTTTCTTGTTAACATCAATTTTTTTGTTCTATATGCCCGTAGGAACAAAATGATACCGAGGAAGTTTAACTGTGGGGGGGGGGGGTGCACGGTGTGAACCCCCCCCCCCCATCCAGCCCATGGCCTAATTTTGTGTAGCGGGTCGCCCCGTTTATTACAAGGAATGGGCTAGAAAAAGGTATCCGTATGGTCAATGATATTATTAATGATTATTGAGCATTTTTGACTATGCACGAATGTGTTAATAAATATAACATCAATACAAATTTCATTGAATATTACGGATTGATTCGCTCCATAAAAAAACACTAAATCGTACTAAGTTTGAATGTCGATTAGTAGGAATCACTTCCCGTTTAATATTAAGTTGATTTTAAAGGACCATAAAGGGTCTAAGAGAATGTATAAGATTTTTTGTTCTAATTTGGTTTATAAGGAAAGATATAAAGAAAAATAGCAGAGGGATATAGGAATTTCAAATAACAACAATATTTGGGAAGTGTCAAATGTCACTTTCAGTTGCACTAATGATGTTAAGCTAAGATGGTTTCATACAGAATCATTCACAGGATTCTAGGTGTTCAATCATTTTTATTTAAAATCGGTACATCCGAAAACAATAAATGTACCTTTTGCAAAGAAAGTGAAGAAACACTCGAACACGTTTTATTTTTCATCATATCACTTAACTTATTTTGCCTTCACAATAAATACAAAACAGAAACAGAAGTACAAGTGATACTGGATGTTGCATAATATATGTACCGTAAATTGTTAAAACGTCTGTAATTATTTTAAAAAAAAACTGAGAGATGTTTATAAATTGATAACTTAATGAAAGCTATATTTTTAATTGAATTTTTGCGAATTATTTACAGTATACCCAAATTTCACAGGTGTTCGGTCTCCTTTATAAATAATTCATTATTTGTTTTAAAGGTCAACGGAGTTCACAATTTGGTCCAATACGATTGGTCCACGTTATCAAATATGTCAGCCCCCAGTACCGCTGACACGAAAGCTGAAAGGTTTTGATAGTTGTTAAACCATCAAAAGTAAGTATTATATTTGTAGTGTTTCCTTCACTTACGTTTTTGAATTTCAGTTCTCTTCAACATACTTTTATTATAGTTTTAAAGTGGTTATTTTTGTATATAAAATTTTAAAAAACTTTTGAACCAAAAAGACCGGGCCGGGCTAGCTAGTCTAGGCTAGGCTAGGCCTAGGCTTACTTGTTGTGTGTGGTGGTAGAGCGTCGCCCAGCTTGGGTTGGGCGAGCCGCTTTCCCGGCGAGCCAACTTCGAGGCCTAGACTACTCTAGAGTTTAGTAGTGGTAATCCAGGCCTTACGCCTAACTCTAGCTTCCAGTAAGGCATTTAAACAAGCACACCGTCCATCCATTGTACACAGGAAGAGTTATATTATAGGCCTAATTGCTTCAAAAAAGTTGACTTTCAACCAAATGGTTTTTTTGGGTTTTTTTTATAACAAACTGCCCAAATTGATTTATGTGAATGCTCGTAACTTCTGCATAAAACCAACTTTTTTAATCAAACCAATAGAATTTTGCTTTTTTTTGTAATCGATAAGGGAGGGACTGCGATCATTATTTGGCAAGTATATTGTAAATATTGTATAAAAACTGGTTTAATTTTGATTGTTATTTATGCACTTGTCAATTGTAGTCTTGGGCCTAGCGGGGACTTATACGGGGATGTAATTTCTAAAACGATTACATGCATGTGAAAGTCCCAGCCACCTCCCGGCAATGCGGGGCATCATTTTAACGTACATCCCCAGCTAAGTCCCCGCAACTTATCGCCGTTGAATGGATTTCGATTCAAATTCAAAATATGTTTAATTGTAATTGAGGAAATGTAAGTAGTTGTAAAATTGGAAAATTAGGAAGTAATCATATTTGTAAGTGGAAAGAAAAACACTGTAATTCCAGTTAATTATAATTGATTACATTTTCAGTATCATAAACTTACCATATTTCTTGCAATTTACAAATAATATAATTATTTTTATGTTTTTTTTTTTTTCAGTATGGAACTCTCATGGACTAGCTTAGCAACAATTCTAATATTTGCTTTTTTATGTCAATCAAGCTATTCAGCAGGCAAAAATAAGAAAAAGGGCATCACAAAAAAGTGCCGGACATGTAGAAACTTTGTGGAAGGTTTTCAAGAGGTGTGTACATAGATACAAATGTTATGACTGAGAATACTATACTAATAGAAAGAATGATAGGTAAATGTAAATCTCAATGAAGGAAGGGAATACATTGGATTTGTTAGAAAAAGGTAACAAGTGTAAGAACCATGGAAGGAATGAAGAAACGGTTAAACTATAAGTGTGTGATCTTACTTGAATCTTCGGGCTCTTGGTAAGGCCATAGCCTTTTAAATGGTTAAGTGTTTTCTAATATCCAGTTGAGCTCTGGCCTTCCTTGGTTCAGGGAGTCAACTCCCTGCTTGGTTTAAACTGATGACCCTGTGTTCTGTTGGAGACTTCCAATTCAAAAGAATTTCCAAATCATCAAATCCCTTGATTATCTTGAATACTTGAATGATGTCAGATCGATCTCTTCTATATTTCAGAGTAGGTAGATGTAGTTCCCATAATCTCTCTTTGTATGGCTTCTCTCTCAGTGCACTTACAATTTTGGGGACTCTGTTGCACCCTTTCTGTTTTGTTTGTATCACCTTTCAAGAGCGGATACCAAATACAACTAACATACTCTAGATGGGGCCGAATGATGCTTTGTACAGGAAAAGAAACTTGTCTTTTTTTCATATATTCAAAGGAATTCCTGACCAATCCTATAAACCTGATGGTATTGTCGAACGTTAATAACGAAGTAAAGCTCGCATCATGATCTGTTCTCCTGCAGTGTGAGGCAGATTACCAGCTGGCATAAGTAATAATAGGCCCCTAATAATATGTTGATTTGTATAGCACCAGTATCCATAAAATAAAGGATGATTCCTGCCACTTGATATATGGACCTCATAGTGCTGGAATCTGCCTAATCAATCTTAGTATTAAAACTGAATGAAAAGAATTAAAGAGAAAGGCAACTAGAACAGTAGAGAAAAGATAAGGATTGTACAAAATATGAAAAATCGAGTCATTGATATATTTAGAAAGATGACTATTATTATCGTGAAATATACATATTAAATAATTTGTAAACATTGAAACTCAATTTTTGTCAAAATATCTCTTCATAAATATATATATTTTCTTGAACATCTCAAATTGACCTGGCATACAAAAGTATCATTTTGTCTTGACACCTCACAAGTGTTTGAGAGCTGAGAGTGTTATCTGTGACATGACTTTACTTGTACCATATAATCTGTAAGCTGAGTATAGTGTTATATAAAATGAACCTTGTCAGTTATATACATACCGTACTATGTGCATTTTTTATACCAAATTAATACTGTTTTACTAATTGTTTTCACTTTCTGACAGGGCATTACTCGAACGTCAAGGTACAATTTTGGTGGCGGTGATGTAGATTGGGAAGAAAAAAAACTTGGTACATATCAGACAAGGTAAGCAGCACATAAGAATTCAATTGGGTGATTTCATTATTGTGTATAAGATCACAAATCTTATAAAGAATTGAACACTCTGGTGTCTACAACAAAATTAAATTACATTATTAATAAATTTATTTGGATATAATAATTTAGAATAAAAAATAATATGCATTACCATACCATAGCTCATAAACCTACAATATTTTGTAACCTAATTAATAATTTATATATAATTTTTTATTTGCATTTCAGTGAAACAAGATTTATAGAAATTACAGATAATATATGTGAATCATCCAAACATGAGGTATATATGTATAATTTTTATTATATATTAATTATTCTGTGCTGTGACCAAATCCTACTACACTTTTTTCATGTCTCCATTTTTAAATGAAATTATAATAATTATTATAATAATATAGGAATTTATTGTGCACCTTTAACCAACGGATGCACGGTGCTGGCGATGTTTTTTTATAACTTCTGGTCATGGAATTCATAATTTGGCAAGCATCCACAAAGTGCAACCCCCTCCACTCCCAAGGGAGTATTCCAGTCTTGCTTGCAATTTAATGTAGACACAGAATAATTATTCATCATCCACCAAGTACCTATTTATACTCCAGCGTGTGTAGAGACAAGCATAGGTATTACATATGCCTTGCCCGAGGACAATAAGTGAAATTCACAGCGGAGGTTCAAACCTCTGAAGTTGAGACTGAAATGCAACCACATCGACAACCACTCCCACATGTGATATATACTACCGTAGAACTTCGATTTGAAGCCCAGTGGGCATAATCTCAAGATGAAGCCCATCTCGAATTGAAGCCCCCTCTTTAGTTTGCAAAGTTAGCCTCAAATAGAAGCCCATCTCGAAAAGAGGCTAATGGGCTTTTTTTCAAGATATCATAGGCTTCTTTTCAAGATAATACAGTACATACACTGTATATGAATTTCAGAAACAAAATAAATTAAATACAAGTTTGGTTTAGAAAGTAGTTTAGGTAATTTAATGCCAATTATATACACTCCATGATACAGATTGATTTTACAGTGGCTTTATTGTTTTATATTACAAATTCACAAAATTTACAGCATTCATTTTGAAAAGAAGCCCCCCACCCCTCTTTACTTTGCAAAGTAGCCTCGAAAAGAAGCCCATCTCAAAAAAAGCACATCAAAAATTTGCAAAAAAAAAGAAGCCCGGGACTTCAATTCGAGGTTTACTGTATCTCTTTTACATAATGTAATATTTTTCTTCTTTTTTTTAGAGACAGATTATACCATGTGTCAAAGGTTAACAACGGATCTCCACGGTTCAGTGCACACCTAGTGGCTACCACCAGTTTCTTTGCAGACTGAGGATGATATATTTTTTGAGGTTTTTAGAGCTGTTTTTTCCTGATCAATATTTCATTATGTTTTATTAAATTTGTTTTTCAGATTGCTGTGTTAATGGTACATTTGGTCCTGAATGCAAAGGTAAGCATATTGATCAAGATTAATTGATTAATCTATATAATGACTTTTAGAAGGTGTTCCAAGTCTCTCAGAATTTGCAAAAGTCTCCCGGAAAATCTGGACGGCCTCTCACATCTCGTGCAACCAAGCAAGAATCTTCTATCTTCCACAAATTAATTAAATCATGTTTTTACTAGTGTGTTTCCTCGTTAATATGATTTGTCTCACGGAAGTCAGTGTCAATGGGTATCATGAAAAGCAGCGAAATAAATGTGGTGTGCTAAGAAACGTAGTTTTAAACAGATCTCCCAGATACGACTTCTTCCAACTTGCGACCCTTGTTTTAGTTTTTTTAAGAATTTTATATTAAGCCTATTGAAAATTTTTTTAAATAGTTGTAAAGACTTGGTCTTACAGTGATTTCTATTGGATGTTTTTTTAGAGTGCCCTGGAGGTGTTGAAAGGCCATGTAGAGATAATGGAGAATGTAAGGTGAGCTAATTAGTAGAGTTGTCTTAAGAATAATGGAGGGTATGCTTTAATAACCTGGTTCTCAACCTTTGAACCACAGTCTCAAAGAAAAATTGTTTTTAATTCATCAAAAATTGTGTGAATCTGGTTTTTGGAAAATCATTCTAACTCACCAAACAAATTACTGGTGCATTTCGTTTTTCAAATTTCTTCAATTGATGATGATACACTACAATAATGATTCGCATCAGAATGTAGTCTTCTTAATATTTTTTAATATTGATTATATATTAGGAATATAAATGAATATTTGATTGGTTTTTAAAGGGAAGCGGCACAAGATCAGGTGATGGTAAATGTTCCTGTAATGATGGTTACTCAGGTTCACTATGTGATGAGTGTAAAGACAGCCATTTTGAAGAATCAAAGAATGAAACTCACACAGTGTGTAGAGGTACAATATTTTACTGTTTGTTTACTCATATTTTATTTATTTATTATAAATTAATGTTGTCCTCCTAGGATACATCCTGGAGATGACAGCTTTCTCATCATGCTTTTCCACCCTGGTCTATCTAGAACTTTCCTATGTAGTGTTCCAATGATGTGATACTCATATGTTGATATCTGGTTTAATATACTAAGTAAATAAGTGCCATCAATATATTGTACTACATGTAAGTACTGTAATGCGGTAATATATAATATATTAATTTCTTTTTTATGTATTCCTTTTACTCATTCAAGAATGCCATTTGTCATGCTCTTTGAAGTGTACTGGACCGGAGACTAAAGATTGTGAGGAGTGCAAAGAGGGATGGTTATGGAATGATGAGCATGGTTGTCAAGGTAAGGCTTTGGGGACTATTTGTTGCTTGGGCAACTGTCCTTTTAGCTCGGGCCAATATTGCCTTTTCTATGACAACAGCGTTTGTAGCTATTAGGCAACAGATCTTGTAGTTAGTTTAACAGTCTATTGGTAAACACCAAGAACAACTCACAAAATCTGAAGAAGACTTATTTGCATTCTGGTTGTGATTGGCAATACAGCTGTAGAAAACCCCCTACTCATTTTTGAAGAGTTTTTTTTTTTTTTTTCAACAAGCAGATGAGCCATATTGCATGTAGGTCTAACGGCTTAAATGTCTTATCCGAAAGATGGTGTGCTATTGGTACTTGATTTCAGCCCTCTAGCTAAAACGCAAAGAGAGTGATAGGATTTGAACAGCAGACCAAGAGAACGCCATGGTTCAGCACCCATACAGTGGCTACCACTAGATTACCTGACTGAGCCATGCAGCTCAGTTGCTTACTTACAATACGTCCATGCCTTTAAATTGCTCTAGAATGAACTCACCTTAATTTTTGTAGAAAAGCAAAAATTTATGTCATTATGTTGTAGATGTTGATGAGTGTGCTGCCGAAGAGCGTCCGTGCAACGAATCACAATATTGTGAAAATAATGAAGGATCGTACAACTGTGAAGCTTGCCACGCGTCATGTGACCAGTGTCTGGGCAAAGGGGACGAACAGTGTATAAAATGCCGCAACGGCTACAACATGGAAGAGGGAAAATGTAAAGGTAAGTAATCCATCTAAAGTAGGGCATACCTATACTCATATTTCTGTTTATCATGCACATCAAACATGTTTGATCAGACTTGATGAATTCAGACTTTGATGAAGTCAGACTTTGAGTATTAAGTCCGACTTGGATGGAGTTAGACTTTGCGTATTAATTCAGATTTTGAGTAAGTCTGAATTGGTTTTGTCAGACTAAATGAAATCTGACTTTGTTGAAATCGGACTTTGATTAAGTCAGATTATGATTAAGTCAGACTTCGATTAAGTCAGATTATGATTAACTCGGACTTTGATTAGTCAGACTTTGATTAAATCAGACTTTGATTTATTCAGACTTTGATTAAGTCATATTGTGATTAAGTCAAACTTCTGATTAAGTCAGAAATTGATGAAGTCAAGTTTAAATGAAGTTAGTAAAAGATCATCGTCTTAAGATATGGAAAGACACATAATTGTTTGATCAGTTATATCTCAAAAAGTGTATACTGTCAGATGACAGATCAAACATTAAATTTGGCTGACAGAAGTCTGATTGAAGTTTTGTAATGGCAATGGTTGAGAACTAATATAGCATATAATCTTATTTGACTCCTCAAATGTATGTCGAAGCTGATTGCCTATAGGTTCTGGTGGGTCCTTTCCTGACAGGAAAGGCCGATCCTAGATCAACAGAGTTGTCCAAAGGTTGGACAGGCTAGCATATAATATTATAGCATTTAATATATTTAAACCTTTATTTAATATCTTTATAACACCATAATGAATTGTTAACTGTTCCCCTAATAGATATTAATGAGTGTGAAAGCGATAACCACGGTTGCACCGGTGAACATAAAATCTGCAAAAACCGACCGGGGACCTACCAATGCGACTGCGAAGAGGGTTTTGAGTTGATGGGTAGTGAATGTGTTGATGAGACTAAAAGTAAGTACTCTGACAGTTTTTCAGTTTTTGCCCACCCAATTTGTTTTTTTTTGAAGATGCACAAATTTTATTGCCTTCAAGGAGGACACCATGAAAAAAGATGTCTGTGGTGACTAGTAAGGGATCATCCATACTTTTCGTCATTTTTTTGCAAGAGTACAAAACATATAAAGTGGGAGAAGGAATTTACAGTGTAGTCATATACATATAGGTCTACCTCCAATTAAAGAACATTTTGGGGCCAGAGTTTCTGTGTGTCTTTTAGAAGCTTTAGTCTCTAATTATTAAAAAGTTATGTGAAGCGCTTAGAGGCTTTGTGCATAAAGCGCTATATAAGAACGACATATTATTATTATTATTATTATTATTATTATTATTATTATTAGTATTATTATTAGTATTATTATTATTATTATTATTAATTAGTATACTGTAATAAAGATAAAAGACATTTGTGATTTTTGACCACAGACAAGTGGTCTTTAATTGGATTGGTCTTTAATTAGAGGGAGACATGTATTCTTTTATGGAAAATGTAAAATTATGACGGCCTATATAATCAATTTATTGTGTACTCTTTCGGGGGAAATGAGTATGTTTAATTTTGCCTTTGTAAATATGTTGAAAATATTTTGGATGATCCCTAAAAGTGGCTGCTTTATCACTGGAATTCTGAAGTTAATCATAGAAACACTGCATATTATTATATATTTTATAAATCACTTTTATCTTATACATATACATATGCAAAAACTCAGGTGCCCATTTTCTATTTTCTATGATCCAGTGCATCTGGTAGATCATTGAAGTTGGTCATTTGAGAATGATAACCTAGTTTAGTAGCCTTAAGCAAATAAGCACTAGCAACTAAGCAACTCATTTCAAAAGTCTGATCAAAGAAACAAACACCTGAAAAATGTATGCTATAAAGCCTTTTTCAAACTACTGTTTGTGGTGACTGAAGTATAGTTCAGTAACCAAATCACTAGAATGATTATTTGTAAAATAGTTTTCTTTTTTTTTTAAATGCTTGTATTTACATTATCATCATATAGTCAATTTAGAAAGTCATTAAAATTATTTATAAAATGCTCCAGCATTAATAATTTGAACACAGTATATTTCTAAAAATGTTTTCCTAAATAAAAGAAAAAAAATTATAAAATTCCTCCGTAAAAGTGTGTAAAGCATGTAATTTTCCGCGTTGTGCGGTTGTGCACTTTTTCCAGCAATGTTTTTTTTTTCGGTGATGGGGGCATGCTCTTCTATGATGTCTTCCAACTTTCAATTTCAACTGATAACATGGAATCCACACCATTAACATCACAAGATTTCTTTCCTTAGAGAAGTTAATTATAATATAATAATAATAATATCTCAAATTTATATGGCACCAATTCCAAACAAGATCAAAGATGCAACACACATGAATATCCACCGAAAAACAATTAGGTCGTAAGCTGTGACTTTAATTCGTAAATAGATAGAAAAAGCTATGTTATTTAGAAGCTGGTTCCAAATAATAGCAGAAGTATAAGTGAAAGAACATTGACCGTAGGTTTTGCTTCTGTATTTGGTGACAGATAGAAAGTTTTGGGAAATTTATTTTTTTCTGTGGTATTCCTTGTGGACAACCAATTGTTTTGAAATATTTTGTTTACTTCAGGGATGATTAAAAATGTAATGCATGAAAAACTTTTATAAAAAGTAAATCAACTAGCCCATTCATTGAATTCAGTGTCTAAAAATGTTTAAAAATAATGCATGAAAACCTTATATAAAAGGTATATACCTAGCCTGTTCATTGAAGACTCTGTTGGCATTAAAAATCTAAATCTGTTTTAACTTGTGTTTAAAGTGCCTTGACTTACTGGCTTAACTTCCTCATCTGCTACCTTGGCTCATTTCATACACTTAGGTCCTTGTTTTTCTTTTTCTCTTCCAGTGAAGGAGTTAACACAGAAGAAAACACAGTTGTCAACAACAGGGGAGATTCTTACCTATATTCTCTATTTCATTATACTTGTTGGGTCTATAGTTGCTAGCCGTAATAGCCCGCTAGCAGCCATGGTGTTTGGCGTAGGCATGGGGTTCTGGTACCTAACAAAGATATTTGATAAACCTTTAAAATTAGACCGTTAAACAGGGCAATAATTTATTTATTTTATTCACTAAAAGATTGAGTAATATTTCGAACAAAACAATATGAAGCAATATAGATACCTAAAAAGGACTTTAAATCTGATTGTGATATGAATTGAAAACTATTTCCCATAGATATATTAGGATCATAATGTATTCAGCAAATAATTGGCTACAGAGATATTATTCATATTCTCTTTAGCTTATATGTTTTAGGGATCAATAATTTCATATGGTGTTAATCCACTCCTAAAATTCTACATTTTGATTTACCATAAAAAAAATTACACTGTGCCTGTTTGGTCATACTGTAGAATGTGAAAGTATATTGGTTACACCTGATGTTAGTGTTTATTTTCTTTAAAATGCATTGTTTTTTTTTCTGTCTGTTGATGGATCAATTCCATTCTTTATATCATGCATGTACATTGTTATTACTTTATGCAAATTACGCCTTCAAAAAAAAGTTTTCTTGCAATACTCTATCCTTGATAAAAACTAATTTATTTGGACATTGAATTCAAAAAGTCAAATGGTTATAGCTTGATATCTGTATTCTTTTTAATTAAATTTTCTCTTGCATTTTAAATTTTTATTGAGGTTTTCCTTGTGATTTATAGCCTAAGATTGCTGAAGTGTAGGTAATTACATTGAATTGGTATTTTGAGATAATAACAATATCATGATTATCTAATATTATGTTGATTTGATAATGAAGTAGAGGGTGTTAAAAGGGGTCCTGCTGGCCCAGGTTCCCCTTAATTTTTTTCAAATTTAAAACAAAATGTGGACAAAGAAAGTGATGTTCAAATTCCAGTCTGAGAGTGCCATTTCCAGGCAGCTAGATGCTAATAGCCATAAAATATTGTACCTAAGCCCAAAATATAATGTTGTCTTCATTATATAATTCCATCCCTGGACCCCTTTTATTTAGAGTTCCTGATCCCCACTGTGAGGCATTATTAGACCATGTGAGAAAACAATAGTTTAAAAAAAAATTAGCATGTTTCCTATAAATAGTAAGCTTCCCTGCATGTTTTGGTTTTATTTGGTATTCAATTGATTTTTGAGAGTTAATGTTTGTCTTTGTTTATATGGGTAAACCAAGCCGTGTATTAATTTTGTATTCATATTGCTAAAAGTTAAATCTCCCACCGTTACAGTTAAGATTTTACCTTTCTTTTCTGTTCATTCGTTACTTAATCCACATTGTACACCATGAATATATTCTGTGATTTAGTGACATGATTCTACAGAATAGAATCATGTAACTTTAAAGTTAATGAATCCTAATTTAGTAAAAAATAAAATTTTTAGAAATGTGTTTCCAATCTATACAAACACCAAAGTGTCTCTTACTTCTCACACTAGCTGCAGTGTTAATACAAGTGTTTGTTTATTATAAATTGTAGTTGCACCTGTATTTATTTATTGACAATCATTCACTTGTTATTTTAGGTCAATATATAGTCCTTCTTAAGACTAAAATTGTTTCAAAATGTATGAAATTCCTGCCATAAATATGCAACTCCAAAGATAAGGATTAAACAATTAAATTAATGCAATTTTTAAATAATTATTTCCCTTCTCACCTTATTGATACTAAATATCTTATTGTTACTTGTTATTTGTGAGGTTTGTATATGCGTATCCGCCGTAGATGCACAGATTACCACGTGACTTTTGTAGTTGATTTTCGTAATTCTATTCTGTAGTGTTTGTTTATTGTTGGTTTATTGTTGAGGCTGATTTCCATAAAACTAAACCGTAAACATTTCTGGATCTACTTATCATAGGAAAATCATTCTTAACAAAGTTAAAGCTTATATTGTCATCTATTCTACACTTCAATTCTCAGTTTCCCAACTACGTGAGCCATTTACTATTGAGACCTCGCATTTATTTATTCACTTATGTCAATGTTAATGTTTTTTACTGTTACTGACTGTAGATAAAGAATATATCTGGACATTAGATAGACAATTTTTGAGAACAGTTTTTATTTGAATTGTTTTTTGTGTACATATATATTATTATTACTGTGTTGTAAGATATTAAATGTTGTAATTTATGAAATGAGATAATGCATTGTCTTTATGCATACTTTACATTTTGTGTATTTGAATTAAAGTGAAAGTGTGAGGTATGATTTAATATATCTATAAATAATGAACAAGTTTCCTCTCCTTACACTTTTTTTTACAACTCAGTTTTTTTTTAATATTTTTATCAAATATTTCACAATTTAATGGATTTTAACACAATTTTGTATTCAGAAACATTTCCTCATTATTTTATTGTATTTCCTTGATATCTACCTACAGGATAGAAAAAAACCAATTCACAATGCTCTATTAACCATCACTCAGTTTTCAGCTCCGATGAGGAACTCTAGAAACACTCGCCTGATTGGTTAATAGATCTTTTTTGTATGGGCGGCCATAGGAGCTCTATAAACACTCAGCTGATTGGTTAATAGATCTTTTTTGTATGGGCGGCCGTTAGGGCCAATATACTCTACTGCCTCTATTATTCTGCCTTCATCGGAGCTTTCGAGATAACGAGAACTTGTTAAATATTAAATGGTGATTATTATTATTCATAATACTGCAATTTATAGCTCACAAATAAAACAACACAGAGCTAAAATAATTTCTCATTCAGATATTTAAAATTTAATTGTACTGTATGTACAAAATACTTCATATGTTCATATTTACATTTATTTTTCCAAAGTTTATGATGAAGATAATGAAGAAGAGCCAGCTGAAAATATAGGAAATGAGGATCAAAATGAGGAAGTGAAGGAAGACAAAGATAAAGTGAATAATAATGATACAAATGAGGAGGAAAAGACAAAACAGATGGAGGAAGTTTTATCAGATAATAATGATGATGGTATTTTGACAGCTGGAATAGAAAACGTTGACATTCAAAGTTCCAAAACAGAACTATGATAAAGGATTATATGCATCTGCATTTTATAACTGTATGTCAAAAATAAAATATTTATTCTGAAGGTCTGTCCAAACTGTCAGGTTTTTATGTGACAAGTATCTGTGATTTACCCATATATATGGATGATGATGTCATACCACACCCATATATGGGCATGTCACAGGTATTTGTCACATACAACATGGTAGTGTGGACAGATCTTTACAAAACTGAAGCTGGACATTCAGCATCAGACTTGCATCTGTCAGACCAACAATGTTTTATCATGCATTACTAGACTTCCACCAAACTTGTTAAAGATACCACATTCTTTAATCAGATATTATCTGAAGCAAGCTTACCATACACTATCAAACATTGGCAAGTCTGACAAACAAAAATTTTATTAATGAAGCACCACTTCACAATGAAAATCTACTTAGGACTATTTAAGGGTGAGGGATAATTTTTATATTTTTTACTACCAAATTATTATTTACCATCAAATATAAGTCTGGCAAATGAAAATCTGATTATGTAAGCACTACTTCACAATGAAAATCCACTTTTTTGAAGGGTGAGTTAAATTGGTTTATTTACTGTATTGAAATATTTCTTTTGAATACCTAATAGTACTTCATTTTTAATGTTGAATTCAACTATTAACTTTCGCACCCATTCACATTCCTTAAAAGCATTTAAAAACATCTTAAACCTTTATAAATTAGATCAAGTTGACTATTTGGGGTCTTTCCATATTAATGTAATTTTGTGTCTTCATGTCTATATGGTATGGAATAAATGTTTTGTATTTTTACCTCTTTGTTTTGTTTCATTTTATATTTTTTGTACAGCTAAAGGCAGAAGTACCATAAACTACACAAAATTGCATGAAACAAAACCCACGCCATAGTGTGGGAGCTAGCCTGGGTTCCAGGCCCTAACTTTAGGTTACTCACTCTTTATTGCACTTAGTGCGCGACATACCTAATTTAATTGGCGTCCCATACTCGATTTCTTTTTTTTTTTTTTATTTTCGTCTTTAAATTAACTTTTTCGTTGGTGGCGCTGTCCAGAATGAGAAAAATAATTTAAAAAAAAAAAGACTTGTGGCAAGTCTATGTGGAAGCGGACTAAGGTTTCTAAAAGTGTGCTTTGGAACTACAATGATAACTAAAACCAACAAAATTTCATATATGGAGATCCTACAATAATAAATTAATTGCTTATATTGGTATCTTTTAATTGAATATTAGAACGGGAAAAAAAAATTTTTTTCTCACAATCATTAAAAATTATATAATACACTTCCGTAGTAGAATTTCATGGAGTTTATATCAGCAAAACTAAACTGAATTAACATTTTGTGAAAACCGTTGCAATGAAGTGGGAGTGCCATAGGTAGACCATAACACAATTGCAAAAAAGTATGGACGCCATACGGGGGAAAAAAAGCTAAGGGGCCAATCTTGCGATAGCGGAATGTTTTCCGAGAGGAGCTTGAGTTAACTAGGCAAATCTAGCAAACGAAAGTAGCAGAAGTAGTTGGTCAGTGAGATGTATATAGCGTTTGACGATCTATAAACAAAGCTTGTAAACCTTTTATATAAACGCAGTAATAATTATAACAAGAATATGCTAATGAGGCAATCACTCAAGCGTGACGACCAACCTATTGAGCGCCTACATCACGATCACCAACTTCTCGGGAGTTGTAAACTACTGTATTAAAACATTGAAGTGTAGGCCCTATCCATATACATGTGTCCAGGTCTTACTGATAAACCGCTGGCCTTTAATCATACATATAATTCTACTTCACATATTAAGCTAGCCTGGGTTCCAGGCCCTAACTTTAGGTTACTCACTCTTTATTGCACTTAGTGCGCGACATACCTAATTTAATTGGCGTCCCATACTCGATTTCTTTTTTTTTTTTATTTTCGTCTTTAAATTAACTTTTTCGTTGGTGGCGCTGTCCAGAATGAGAAAAATAATAAAAAAAAAAAAAAAAGACTTGTGGCAAGTCTATGTGGAAGCGGACTAAGATTTCTAAAAGTGTGCTTTGGAACTACAATGATAACTAAAACCAACAAAATTTCATATATGGAGATCCTTCAATAATAAATTAATTGCTTATATTGGTATCTTTTAATTGAATATTAGAACGGGAAAAAAAAAATTTTTTCTCACAATCATTAAAAATTATATAATACTCTTCCGTAGTAGAATTTCATGGAGTTTATATCAGCAAAACTAAACTGAATTAACATTTTGTGAAAACCATTGCAATGAAGTGGGAGTGCCATAGGTAGACCATAACACAATTGCAAAAAATTATGGACGCCATACGGGGGAAAAAAAAGCTAAGGGGCCAATCTTGCGATAGCGGAATGTTTTCCGAGAGGAGCTTGAGTTAACTAGGCAAATCTAGCAAACGAAAGTGGATCATCAGCAGAAGTAGTTGGTCAGTGAGATGTATATAGCGTTTGACTTCTACTCCCATTTTATTTACCATTAATTAAGACCGAAATTAGACCTAGTCCATGTGTGGCAAATGCTCAGCGATTTTTCCCTAGTATACTTTATGACGTATATCTGTGATTAACCAGGTGCGTAAAATTAATCTTACTGAAAGCTGGGTACTATACAGTAATGAAGAAGTAGAGAATAATATGTTGATTGAACATATAGTGCCCTCCGTTTTATTTTTTGATGGGCCCTGCCGTCCCGGTGTCCAATTTTCCAAATTTTCCCACAGATGTTGTTTTCTGTTGTCCCTGTATTCAGATTTCACACACAGATGTTGATTCCTGATGATGGCATAATTAATGTCGAAATATTGAATCCCAACACGATGGCGTGCATTTCAGTACTTGGAGTATGTATTATATTTTCTTATCTGAGATTAATCAGTGGACCTTTCGGATGTTGTTTTCTGCTCTTCTATTAATTACCACAGTAGTAACAAATTATATGAACCGACAAAAAATGAGAGCAGCTGAGCTCAGTCGGCTAAACTGTTCAGTGTGCTTTTCAGACTTGATTCCTGGTTCTCTGCCAATCGCTGCTCTGCTTCTGCTGTAGGCCCTAAGGATTAAATTGCAAGATACAGCAGTGGGCCGGTCGACTATCGAAAAAGACGTTTATCATTTTCCCTTGTATAGGCCTATCATCTTGACATCTCTTCTCACCTGCTTAGCTATATTCATTATCATAGAATACATTAACATTAACATTAATCCTGGTGTGATTAATCCTGATACTTTCTAAGACGGAGTCGTCGTTAAGGTTTATAAAACTCGTTAATAAAAAAATACTGTACCAAAGGCATGTTTGCATCCATTTTTATATCATTTAAAACATTTTACTTGAATCTATTATAATGTGTATGATGATGGTTATCAGGCATACAGATTTAAAGAAAAATATAAAAACAGTGTGGTACGTAGTTGTGACATAGTGTTATGTGCTTATTAAAACATTGATACAAACCAAAGTTGTCAGTTATTTCATATGCAAACAGTGTATATGCAGTGCAGTTTTTTATATCTAAAAAATTACGTTATATGCATGCTCAGAAGCGGAAATTTTAACCTAAAAGTTTGATATATGTTTCATGTTGTTTGTTGAATGGTCTTTAATGATATTATATTCTAATAATACCACAACATAAGGAAGAACACTTTGTCACCTACTAAGTTTAGACCCATATATATTTATATTTCCTTATAGGCCTAAATCATAAGGAAGTCCGCTCTATATCCAAATTTCAGGAAATTATACGTTTTATGCATGCATCTACGTGGAAATTTTGTTTTATGTTGTTTGCTGAATGGTCTTCTTTAAAAATATAACAGTCTAATATGACCACAACACAAGGAAGTTCATTCGTTAAATGTTTAGTAGATAGTACAGAGAATTATGATTGTTTATCAAAATCATTATACACTTAAAGGTCAGTGGCCTGTGGATTTTCGCACGAGAACGCGTAGGCTTACTCCATGCTGAGCATGGATAGCTAGCTGTTCTATAGCTGGGTACTACATTCCGGCTAAAAAAAACTCTGTCTTTAGGTCTCCGCCTTTTGGCCTTTTTACACCCTGATTGATGCGTCGGGGATAATAGCGTTGTGTTCGTTGACAATCAATAGAAAATTCAAACTTAGTGAGTGGTAAAATAATCGAGCTCTCCTTCCGCCCTCTGCTGGATCCGTCACTGAACTCATGGGTACACTTCCTTTTTTTTCCCTCTTTCTTTCTTCCCTTTAAGTCTTCTCAAATTTTTTTTATTTTTCGGCGTGACTGAAGGGGGTGGGGGAGCGGGCCCCCGTGGCCCCCCGCTTGATCCGCGCCTGAACCTACCTAGGCATATAGGTTGGCAAATCAGACAAACTATGCTTAGACCAACTCGCCTTCAATTGAATAAAATTACAGAGACTGTTTTTGGTTCAATGTTGTAATAATGTATGTACGAAAGTGCGTTCTACGCAATATTGTTAGGATATAATAATATATTGCTTACCGGTATGTCTTTGATTTTTTCTCTATATAATGGCCTAAAGAATGAGATAAAATTACCTGATCTATTTCAAGCGGAGAAAACCTTGAATTTTGAAGAACTTAAAGGTCATTAAAAACTCCTCGGAAGTCGGGAAAGCTCATTTCCGGCCATCTAGGAATCCAAAGTCCCCAGGACCCCTTTTAATGTTGGGGTTTTTTTTTTTTAGACATTTTTGAACCACCCTCTTTCATATCCTGGATCCGCCCCTGGCTAGAGTGCATTTCCCTCGTATTTCGAAATTGTACAGTACAGTGCTTTAACCAACACATCGTTAATCAGGGATTCAAGATGACGCTGTGTATAAACAATTGATAAACTTAACATTTACTCGTGAATTGCTAGGTACAAAAACGTAGGCTAACATTTCCAAATCTTTATTTTTGTACTTTTTGAAAAGCGTACTCACACCTTCAACCCCCTCCCCCAGCGTACCGGTACGTTTTGTAGGCCTACAATCTTGAAAATAATGGATGACCCCTAAGTAAAAAATAGTTGAGCAATGTAGTACCTTGCAAATTAACCCAGAAATCCGGTAGTTTGTTAATTGTTTATTCATAGTTACCAACCTGAGAGATTTGAAATGCGTGAGTAGGCCTAACTATACCAGTTGGCTGGGTGGGGGGGGGGTGGGTCCAAGCGGCAGGGGACCACTCCCTCCCCGCTCCGACGTTCTGAGCATTTTAAAGCTGTTTTAAAACGATTTCAGGTAGTGTTGTTGATAATACAGGTACATAAGCAAAAATTAATAAAGCCAATTTGAGTTTCAATGTAGGCCTATGTTTAATTTGAGCACCTGCACTATGTAGACCTACACAAACATTTCATTACTGATCAATTTTTAGTAACTCGTTAGTGAAATAATTAGGGCCTTCAAGAAAGTACTGTACTCTCTAATGACTCAAGTTACTGCATCACCGTTTTTATAGTTTTAATACAACCAATTTCTTCTAATTTTAAATACATTTTCCCCTGAATTTGTGATAAATCGTTATCACGCATAGACTTTTGTTAAATGCGTGACAAATTTGTTTCTGCAAAATGCGTGTTTCATCCAAAATAACTTTGAAATGCGGGACCGTCCCTATAAACTATGTTTATTTGGTAGCATCCATTCGCTGCCAAAAATAGTTTTTTGGCAGTTGCGTCCCCGGTGACATTATGAGGGCATTGTGAAGGCTGGTTACGCATTATATTATATATGTTTAATTAATAATTACAATTATTTCTAATTAAATTATTAAATATATACATTACCGGTATATATTAGGCCTAGGACATGTATACATAAAACAAAAAATAAACAAATAATAATAGTAAATATATATAAGTATATATATAAAAAAAACTTAATAAAAACAGAATAAAAACATTAAAATCGAATGAAAGAGAAAATGCATTGAAACAAGGAGAGTATACGGATTGCTGATGAGTAGGGAGATGGGCCAACCAACCAAAAATGAATGGACTTCCTGTATAATAAATGTTTGGAATCCACAAGCACTCATCAGCAAAATGAATAGTCACGCAACAAAAAAGTTATGTAAACGATTCCTTAAAATGTTTCTTAAATAAATTAAAATTTCCATTACTGACAGGCAAAGAAAGGTAAATCCAGCAAACTATAATTCTATGACAAAAAGAATGATCAATCCGTTGTGCATCGTGGATTTCTATTACTGTACAAAGTGTAATTTCTTTATGCTTTAACACTTTTAGGAAGTAGCACCACTTTTGAACTTTTATAATTTGCACCAAGTTCGGATTAAGGTCGTAATTAATCGTATACACTTTTTTTTATAACCTAACTCGAGCACTCTCATAACAGTCGTTGGCAATTAAATAGTGTACAAAAGAAATACATTAATTGGAAAAAAAAAAACAAAGCAGGAGATTGTCTTCCGTTATTAGTGTCCGATTCATAAGAACCATAAGAAATTGTCTTAAAATTTATCATTGGTGTCAAATCATAAAATCACGAAATATAACACATCTCACATTTTTGAGCAATTTTCCAAATGTTTATTATTAACAGAGTGACACTTGTGGGATTTTGAACACAATGTTGAATTAATTTTGCAGAAGTCTTACTGAAGCCTGCAAGGCGTATCCGCCGTAAACGTACGGACTACCACGTGACTTGAAGGTTGCTTTTGGCCCAGTGTAGTGTCCTTTACTGGTTTGACCGGTCCCCACAGTGTAGGAGTTTGGAGCCGGACTTGGTTTCACTATAATGGTGTACAATAGTAGAAATATATAGAGAACAGTAAAGAATGTATGTCATTTTTTATTCTATGTATCGGTGATGAAAAAATTCTTTTACATTTAACACACCCTCACGAACACCACCTCATCTCGTAAATATAGGCCTAAGCTATAACCTGTAATAGCTTACGTTGGTTTTCACAACAAGATTTAAAAATACAATAAAAAAAATTCGTCTAAAACACCTGTCCAATTTGAAATCACAAATAGAAGCGCAGTTTGTGTGCGTGTTAAACCGGGCACTTACTGTGGACCCGAAGGTCGTCGGCGATTTTATGTAGAATGCCAAGACGTGCGCGCGTAACGGATTGGTTTTAATGACGATCCGCCGTTCAGACTGCCACCGACAACCAGCAGACGGCGTCACGTCGTCTAGCGCTCACAAAAGGCGGAATTGAATTTGTGAATAATGAGTCAGTGGCGTATCTAGGGGTGTGCGTGGGGGGCGCACGTCCCTCCAAAAATTACTTGCGCCCCCTAAGTCGCCGCCAAAAAATCACAGTCAAGTAGTTAAAAACCACCCTAAAATCACCTTATTTTGCAACTTAGCACCCCTTAACTGATCATTAAGACCCCTCGCACTTCACCTTCGCGCCCCATATCACTATTTCAAGGCTTCTGGGTGCGTCACTGCTGCGAGTGCCCGACTTTACACAAAAACTGCGTAAGTTTAAATATGAGCACGATATTAAACCAAACCTCGTGCCATCAGCAATGCCTGTGTCTTATAAAATGCGCATTTTCACGCATTGGACATTGTGATTATGTGCAGGTCAATAAGTACAGAGTTATATGGACTTATAGCCGTTACTTACGTCTCATTTGTTTGGGTCGTTTAGTCATACTGTAGCTTGGACCGTCATTCGTATCTGCACGTGGATTGTAGACGTTTGGCCCAGGGTTGTCATTCTCTGATAATAAGAAAGTATTTTCAATGCCAGTTACACATTTATCATTTAATATAACAATTATTAGACAAACATTTAAAGAAAAATGTAGGCCCTATTCGATGTCTTTCCCAAAATTTATAGTATCAGACAAATGATTATCGTAAGGTCTTGTATTCGAAAAGCAAGACAAAACTGTAAGCAATTTGCAATATTGTTGTTGGTTATAAATAAATCCAGAATTATTATTATTATTATTATTATTATTATTATTATTATTATTATTATTATTATTATTATTATTATTATTATTATTATTATTATTGGCTGATGCTGTACACCATTATCTAAAATATTGAAAATTTTATTTATTCAAAATTTGCAAAGTAATTTACTAAATGGTAAACTTAGGTCTATTGTTTACTAGTAGTAGTAGTATAATAACCCTAAATGACGAGAATAATAAGTATAAAATAATATTATATTTCTCATCCACCAATCAGTGTCAAGCCATGATAAATAAGTGGTGCTCTGGTCATGGAGGTATAATGCTCTAATAAATCTTCATTATGGGATTTAATTAAGGAAATAAGTTCAATTGTTTTTTTCTTATTGCATGATCATTCAAGCACAACGTCAATCCTTATTCTTGTACTGGTGCCATTTCAAAACGCGATTCTCTCTTCTTCTTCAGTTGTCTTTAGACCGGGTTTTACAACCCATACTGGTCACTTATATCACTTAGCTTCTTCCATTTCTCTCTGTCCATTGTTAGTTTTTGTGCTTGTTTATATAGTCAAGACCAATGTCTTTTAAATTGCTTCTTCATCGTGGTGAGCCATGTAATTTTCTCGTCGTCCTACTTTCTTTTTAATTTTTCGTTCGGCTTCTGCTAGTGCTTGTTTGACAGGTGTGTGGTGATAGTCGTGTCATGTGCCCGAACCATCGTAGTCTGATTCAGAACAGCCCAATCGTATTCAAAATCATTTACATCTTACATATTTATACCCCTGAGTGAAACGTATGCCTACAATATGAAATATACAATATAAAGTGAGAGCTTACTTATAACTGGCTTTGTGCAGCGTTTTGCCATCGAAAAACGTGGAGCCGATTTGCCGTCTGGACGATGCGATACTGAAATGTCATAATGATTTGGTCCAGGAACTTCGTCTATTAGAATTATGAGAAACGAATAAAATAAAGTTTGATTTAGAATGGCTACAACTTTATACAGTTTGATTTGATATCATAATTTAGGTTAGATAGTGGTATTAAACAGCCAACCATATCTCTGCTTATGACAGATGGGGAGAAGGAAACAGTGAGCAACTTTAACTACAACTTTCTTATATGAAGCCTGGTTTATAAAATTGCTATTGTTACTAGCGGAAACACTCGGTACCGTAGCGATTGTATGAAAAATTTTGGGACAGATACAAATTGGCTTAACTTTAGACCTCTCCGTATCTTTTTAATGTGGTGGGTCCAAATTACATAACAACATACTTACATAAAATTAAAAATAATAAACTCATCAAGGCGTTTGGTATCCTAAGCCTAAACCCTACTCCATCAAATGTTATTATCCTTACTTGTTTTTGATTTTGCTGGTCCTTTCATAGTATAGGCTGGTCTGTCGTTGTCTGTGAACTTTCTAGGTCTGTGGTATGCACCTGGGCCGGGAGTATTATCCTTAACTTAAAATGGATACCAGTGATAAATTAATCAGCATTAGAATCAATGCTTGAGAAAGGATAGCCGAAGTGAATCTGAAACGTTGCATGTCTGTAACACTTATTTCACTTGTTAAACAAAAAAAAATTATCCCCAAAAAATAAATGATAATAATAATAATAATAATAATAATAATAATAATAATAATAATAATCATGATCATAATAATAGTAATTATGAACACCAAAATGATACAATGTATAGTGACCTAAACAAGGCATCAATACACCTTGTATCATTATTACCACGATCATCGGATGAAATAAGAATAATGTTTTTGAATAGTATAATAATTACAAATTATACTATAGCTTAAAAAGTAAAAAAATAAAATAAATATTATTTCATTGGTTTATTAATACATATGAAGCACGTTTGGTATGCAAATAAGCCAATTCGTAGATTGAACTTCGCATTCCTGCATCAAGGTCAATCAGCGTAAACAAACGTACACACAATTGATCATGGATACGGGCATGCGCAGTTCAAACTACGAATCGCCTTTTTAACTTCACTTACCCACATCTGGATATTCCAGGATATCAGGGAAGCAGGGTTTGCAATGTCTGCCACAGGAAAATGCATCTCATTCCTTTGCTCAAGTCACATGTGCAGGGGTCCAGGACTGTTAGGGTGATGACAGACAGCGAGCTCTCAGGGATTTTGTTGTGCCATTTTTTTATTTATTTTATTTTTCATCTGAAGCGCATAGAAGCTTTCTTGCATTTTGTTATTATATGACCTAGAAAGGTATTTTTTTAACAGCGATAATAAAAACAATAGTACAAAATTCAGTGCAAACATAAACATGTATTTATTTCAGAATTGCAATTTCAGATGTCATTCATTAATTCAACAAAATGAGAAAATGCCTACTGTCATATGATTGCCATTCACCCTTAAAGCATAACAAAAGGTGCCTAGTAGTACTGCTCTGATATAGGAACAAATGATCTGTATCAGTTGTATAAAAAGAGCTAAAGATGTGTATAAGAGACAGAGATAATCCTAGACTGTAGGAAACATGTTTACTACAATTAAATCCTTAGTTCTTTTCTTAAAATGTGTTGTATTTTTCATCAATTTGCGTCCGTTTGGTTCCATCATTAAAGATTTTAGTTCGGAAGACCTGCCAATTTGTTTGCTTAGGAAGTATGAGAAGATATCCCTACGCTTCATTAAAGCTGAATTGGATCATCATTTTTTACACAATTGTAAAACGTTCGGCGTTTTCCCAAAATTCATTTATTATAAATCATGGAAAAATATTGGCATGAATTTTAGTTTTACGCAAAAGAATTTAAAAAAAAAGAGAAATACAGACTATTTCTCATAAAATATTACCATTTTCTCGACGAATTCATCGTTACTAGGCAAATTCAGAGGTTGTAGATCGCATCCAATGGAATACTCTCGCTTTTATGTATACTTTATACAGTCAATAAAGTGCGCCCTCTCTAAAGAGATTAGTTTTTGTACTTCGCATCTCACACAATGAGGTCGTTCGGTTAGGCTGAGATATGTTTGTTTAAGTGTCAAAATCTCAGTCAGAATCAGTTTTTTAACAAATTTGAAATAATTCCTATGAAATATTATATTTCACAAGTGTCAATACTAGCAACGGAAAATATCATGTCGGCCGTTTTTATGTGTGATAACAGAACCTAAATCGAGGTAGGCTAATGTTTTCGGCGCCTACGATATTTCTTCTCACGACCTATCGCAAAATCAAAATGAAAAATTCATCCGCATTTATTTTTTGTGTGGAACACAAAAAAATCAAATTTCAGTCTTATTTTATATTTTTTTTCATTCTTAGGAATGTCTAAATTCAGTTAAACTAGCAATTCCGTATTATATTTATAAATCTTTATAACATTATACAAAAATTAGATTTTTCTTAAAAACTGAAATTTTGCCGGGAATGGGGCTTTAAATAACTGTTGCAATGGCATGGCCAATTGCGTCCACGGGCGCGTAAAGGCCGTTTTTCACTGGGAGAATTTATTCGCGCGAATCGAAAATTTGTGCGCATTTGAGAATCTCGTGATGAAAATTAAACTGGACACGCGTACAGGCGAACATTTTCGATTCGCTCAAATAAATTCGTCTAGTGGAAAACGGCCTTAAGACAGTACTTACGGGTATTTTCAAATGGCTTATATGTCATGCTGTGTGCCGGAGCGTTCGAATACGTCATAAGATCACGCATTATGTAAGCATTTGGACTTGGCCCAGCTTTGTTTTTCGAGTCATCTCCTTAAAAGCAATAACAAACATTTTCTTATATTTACAATTGAATTAGATAATGTAGCCATATAATTTATAATTCAATATTTTTCAACTGCTTAGGCCTCAGTAGTGAGTTATGTTTGGTAAACCATATCATTTCAAAATGCAGAGGAATTAGATAGAACTGAAAAACAATTTGAAGCTTTACAACATAATTTTAGTGAGCAGAGCACAATGTGAACAACCTACAAATTACCATTACATAATATACAATAAAGGTAGAAGGTAAAATCAATTCTGTCGAAATATTCAATCACTGAATTAACTTAGAGACGAAAAGATTAACATAAATGAATAGAAACAGTATGCAAAAATATTAAAAACCTTCAGGAAACGATTTAAAATGATTCCATATCAATACAAGTTATTTAAACCATGGAATCATGGAGTGTAATCAAACCTAATATTACCACCGACTAGTCAGAACAGGGCCATGTTGCCACAAAGTCTTAAACTGCGGTAGTGGACCTTTCCTATCAATGTGACTATTTCTACCCCTCCTGCTATACTCCTACAATTTTGAAGTCATTTAGGAGGTCGGCTTTACTCATCAAAACCAGAACCAGAACTCATACCGTAATTTACGATGTCGGGTTTGTTAATTAGCAACAACATACAAGGTGCGGGGCTTACCTGTTTATTTCTTCCATTCGGCACTTATGTAAGAGAAAATGTTCTTTATCATTTAAACAAAAGGACTTTGGAGATTTGCCTTTGTTGAACTCTTGGTCCAGTGCATTATATAATAGACCCACATATACCTGGATGCCATCACCAAATAGCCTTCTCTCACATTTATACAATTAATTCTCCAAAGTTTTAACAAACAGAATCACTAACTCATGACCTTCAATCAACCTCATAAACTGTTAGGATTCAGAAATGTTGTTTCAACTACATGACTATCTACACTTAATAAACCAGATAAGGGGCGAATCTAGAAATGTCCGAAATGGAGGCCGAAAGTGGGACCGATCGAGGTAACACTGCCCTAGGGAGTCCGGGAAATGTTTGTTTTCTAGAGGCACGAAAATAACCTCCAAGGCGTTTTGGGCGATCATTTTTTTTCTTTAATTTTCTTTACTGTCCAAAAAAAAAAGAGGACCCTAAAATCCTCCCCTGCAGATCAATTAAAAACAAGGCAAAGAAACGACCATTCTAGTTTATATTGACTTTGAGAAGACTGTTGATAGTTTAAATTAACCAGGGCTCAAATTCGTCATAAAATTATTATCACGACATCGTCATTAAACCATTCGAATTGCTGATGACATTGACTCGTACTAACGACAAAGAGTCTGTATAAACTGAACATACCAAGTAATAATATTGGAGATTGACCACTTCACCAGAACCACTGACCATTGATGGACAAAGATAACAGCAATGGACACAAAGAATGAACGGGTTCTCGAGGCAGAGGAAGACAGAAACCAGATAGCCTATAATTCAATTAAATTAAATTTAAAAAAACATTTATTTCGTTTAAAAGCTAATACAATATTAAACCCAGGGCTTCGATTAGGACTAGACAAGAAGAAAACTTGTATCAGCTAGCCCTGCAACCGGATTTACAATAACAAAAAATGACAATAAGAAGCATGCAAGCAGAACCAAACCAACAAAACATAAAGTGTTTCTTTAGTTAACCCTTTTGAATTTGGTAAGATTTTTTTAATTTCTGTAAGTTCCTGGAAGCTTATTTCATTGAATAGGACCTTGACCGCTAATAAAAAAAAAAGAGTTTTTCACAGAGTAAGATATTAATTAAGGTCGTAGATATTTAATTTTAAGATTTTTAAATAAACGTCCAGCTGTAGATACGTAATAAGAATTTTCTTGAGTCATGCCCACAATACCATATAAGCTTCATATCATTCAAAGTCATTGATCCAACACCTAACACATACTCAGCTCCCTGAAGAATAGTATTGCATCTGTTAGGTGGATAAATAGTTTTTGGTTAAGTTTCTAACACAGGGATTGACGACCACGAAGTAAGGTTCAAAGAAGAAGAAAAAAAGAAGACGACGAAGGAAAAGGAGAACAAGAAGGAAAAAGGAAGAAAAAGATGGAGAAGATTAAGAAGAAGAAGAAGAAGAAGAAGAAGAAGAACAAGAAGAAGAACAAGAAGAACAAGAAGAACAAAAAGAAGAACAAGAAGATGAACAAGAAGAAGAACAAGAAGAAGAACAAGAAGAAGAAAAAGAAGAAGAACAAGAAGAAGAACAACAACAAGAAGAAGAAGAAGAACAAGAAGAAGAAGAAGAAGAAGAAGAAGAGGTAAAGGAGAATGCGGAAGAAGATGATAATGAAGATGATGTTTTTCATGAAAAGGAGGATGATAAAGTTTAGAATATCCACTGTTTGTTCAATGTGGATTATGCCTTACATTCAGGCTAAACTTTGATGATAAAAAAGCCGGTAAAGTCTTACCTTTCTTTCGCAGTGGTTGTCTACTGTGTATCGACATAGCGACTCCTTTGCCTATTGTAGTACCGATATTGTATTCATTAGGAGATGGATTGTCAGTCACTGAAAATTAAAATGAAATATTATTTTCAATATTTTTATCTTGAACATTTTGTGCTGTAAGCCTATTACTCTTTATCAATTGAATAGTGATGTATTTATCTGGCAGCGCCTGCTATAGCAAACATTATAAATTTGGATTGGAACATTGTTTCACCTTTTTGCCAATCCGATGATAATCTCTTCGAAAGGCTGTATGCCGGCCCGTGTCCTGGTAGACTTGTTTCTTCAATCGTGTAGCCGGCAGGTCCAGGGCCAAGGGTATCCGCATTAGTACGACGACTGCATCCAAACGATTTCCTAGGACCACGAGTCGGAGATTTAGGACGATACACATTAGGTCCAGGTGTTCGAACACCTATAAAATGCGGTAAATAAAATCTTCAGTTTATATTTACTCATTTGAACTGTTCAATTCAATATGGTAGTTAAAGAAAATTAGTAGACCTATTACATTCCATTGGATTGGACAAATCAGCATGAGTTGAACATATTAATTTAAAGGTGGTCGTGTGAACACATGCATGCATATCTTAGATTTAAGTTACCGTAGGTGTCGACAGGTTGGACGAGCTGACTAGGATGCCCCGCGTTCACCCCTTCCGCATGTCGGGATGACATGCCAACTTTCGGCGCATGTTTCCCTGTGTTGTTGTACTGAACAGAATAACCAGCAGGTCCCAGACTACACGTCAAGTGATGTTCACCTGTTGAATACAGCACGTTTATCAGAACATAATAATATATGGCAATATAGATCTAGGCCTAAACCGCAACACGATAATTATTGTAATATACATCTACATCCTATTTGCTAGTTTTTGTTAAAAAGGTATTTTACAATTTTACGTTATAATAACGTTGAAGTTTGGTACGCAACAGGTTTTTTTTTTTTTTTTTTTTTTTTTATCTTAGAGCCATAAATACGTAGTATTAACGTAATTTCAAATTAATGTTGCTACAACGTTGTGTTAACATTATTTTCTGATATATCTTAGCCACAAAATTCACAGCGTGAAGACTAATATTATGAATAAAAATCCAATTTCAACATTCACACGACACTAGTAGGGTATTAACTTTCAATGAATCATCAGAAATCGAATAAAATGGTTTTCGCTGTTAATGTTGTAAAACTGGTTTTTAGACACAAAAGGGGAATGGTGAATGAGATACAGAGCCTGACTTTAAACCCTATATATATATATATATATATATATTTTCTCCAAAGTTTTAAGCTCAATGCAGCAATTCCTCTAATGATAAAAACTTCATAAGTAGAAATAGTTTTGGAAAAACAACGTTCAAAAGAAAATAATATGTTCTGAAATAACGTTTTGAAAGACCTAAGCTAAGTTACAAGGTCTGCACTATCGTCTACTATTAATGGCTTCTTTATAAAACGTTTCATAGGCCTAAAAATATTTATTTTCCATTACAGTTTTTTTGGAAGAAAGGATTCACTCACTTGGTACACCATGAGGACATGTGATACCCTTAGATTTGAAGGTCACGTGTTTATTCCTCAAAACTAAATCTCCGTACGTTTCATAGTCTGCTGGTCCTGGGTGATGCGGCACTGAAAGTAAAAATAATTTTTTACAGTGACTATTGACTATAGCTACACTTATTGTATAGGTTTATTTTTTGTTTGTCAGTTACTAATGATTAAGGGTATCAATGGTAAGCATATATTATTCTACAGCATTAAAAAAAAAAATCATTTAAAAGTTAGAACGTAATGTAGGCCCTATGTTACCATCACCCGGTTTGTACAACTTTCCAAAGTGTCAATTAAATTTAACCACTGTCTAAGCAGAACGCAAGGCCAGAAATACGCGCTTTTCATACAAGCGCACGCTTTTACGAATTTACGACGTATAATAAGCTGTCGTTTGGTGGGACGTTATCAACAATACCTAATCGGGGACGAATTTAAGGGCCCCGGTCATCCCCCACCCCTTTTTGGAAAGTAATATGCCTAAAGAAGAAAAATGAAAAGAAAGAAAAAAAACATGATCTCCAAAACGCCTCAGAGGTTATTTTCGGGAGTTTAGAGAACAAAAATTTCGCAGAGCCCCTAGGTTGGTGTTATCTCCACTTTCGCCCCATCCCCCTTTCGGCCCCACCTTTCGGACATCTCTGGATCCGCCCTGCCAAGGAGTGGGGATTAGCGGGAAGGTCCATTACCGTATATCATACTAAAGTATCCTATGACATTTTGTGTATGTCGACCATATTGGTGTTATGCTTACACTGTTTTAATTAGGCTTATGACTTCATAGACACCACGCAAGAATCTTAGTATTCATATTATCTGCTGTGTCAATAAGTCTACTTAGCATTTCTTTATTCATCATCATTCCGTAATTATCGATTTTTCTTACATTTCGGAGGCTTCGGCCGGCCAACAATAGAGTATTGTGGTGTTAATGGTGACGTCAGGTGCGACTTTGGTTGATAGTCTGCTGGACCTGGTAGCGGAATAGCTGTAAAACAGACATTAACGATGATAATTATATGAATGCGGCAGTAACACATGAGCCTCTGATGTCACATTGTTGTTTTAGGTCTACAGAACATTAATGATGCCTTAAAATAGGACACGTTTAAGAAATAACGCACTGCACATTGCAGCCAATTAAAAGATAAAAAGCATGACAGTTACATTTCCAGTAGGCATACTCTACAATACATAAATTCAGATTGATGTAAAACTCTTAAGATGGAAAATAATTTAAAAATATTTTATGATGAACGATCATGCAGATGTATATAATTGATAATGTTAAGCCCTATCAAGTCAAATTCTATCTGACAAAAACGTGTGGCATGCCTAAATACGGTAGTGATGAAATCACATAATGACTATATATAGGCACATCATGACTATGTATGGGCATACAACAGTTATTTGTCAAATATAAATTCATAGTTTGGACAGGGCTTAATTAAGGTTGCACATTGTCTATGATTTGGTTCTTGTTTATTTTTAGATTTAACCTTTTAAAGTGACCATATAGGATATTTTGTTATGTTTACGTCTCACAATCATGACCAGAGCCCACCTCGAAATTTGCAAAGTAGCCTACGATTGCTTACGCGCCTGTTAGAAAATGTATTTTTAAAACACCATGCTATACTTAAATACCTAATGTAAGCAATTCAAATATAGAATGTTATTGTTAGAGTTCATTAGGTAATCACAGCAATAAAAGCGTCAGTAACATCTATTGTTTGCGGCGACGGCGCCATGGAATAAATATTCCATTATGAATGTACAATATAAGCATAGAGAATGTTAATGTTGATAGTATCTTAACAGTGGTAGTGTTACAATAATATAATTAGTATATTAGACGCATGAAATATAGGATATAATATTTGGTATTTGTATATAACTTGAGGTAATGATAGCACATGTTCGATCACAGCATTCATAATATTAAATACGACGTCATAACAGAATAATAAATAACAATAATATTGCACTGACAGAACGATCTATTTCTGCGTAATTGTAATAACCATAATTAATAATAAATATAGTAATGATAATGATGATGATGATGATAATAATGATGATGATCACTACATAAAAATAATTACAAAATTATCTTACCTTGCTGAGTTAATGGTGCCTCCCCATCTGAGATAATGTACTCGCCCATTGCAGTACGCTTGATATCTGTAAGTCCAGATATGAAAATAAGGTTGTGTTGTCTCATGGAGGTATAATACCTCCATGGTTGTCTTCAACGAAAAATTCAGATTATTTAAACAGGCCTAGGCCTATATACTATAGTATAAAAATGCCTATACTGGTTAATCATGTTTGTTAAATTATTATCTGACAAATTACGGGATATATATAGCTAAGTAAGATTTGATAACTTTATTGAGACAGCACAAAGCAACAAGAAGTGATGACGTTATTTCAATTATGTTTTGATAATACTTGCCATTTTCTCAAGTATGTTTATAATGTATTAGGGGTCTAAGAAAATAAATGTATCAAACATGGTAATAAGTAGTCCTAATATACAAGCGTGACAGTTGGAATCAATGTCAATCAGTCGTGAGCTAGTTTTTACTGACCGTATTCTACAGCTGCCATCACTCACCATAATTATTTTGTTGGTAAATAATAACCATATAAGCTGAAACTTTTACGATGAATAATTTAATTCCTGGAAGTTCCCGTTTGATTATTTTTGAGCTTTTGTCTGGGAAAATATATAAATTTTGCTAAAATGCTGACCCTGGATATTCGATATGTCGGGATTCAATGAGAAATACAGACGTTGCCATAAACAGAATAAACTACAAGAGCCATATAAGAGTATTTTGTAGGCCTACGTTAGATTTTCTTTCAATTAACTATCTGTCTCTTTCCGCAGGTGGCTGAAATAAGGAAGACTGAAAAACGGATATTAAAATAACCTATCGATTCCTTTTTAAATTATGAAATATCAATAGAAAATTAATGTTGAATTTTTGAAAGAAAATTCAGATTTATGACCTACAATAACAAAACAAATTCTCAGCATTGGTTCGTCTTCCAATTTCAAAAGACGGGAAACACAAGCAGGTGTTCGTAATAATTGATTCAACATCAACTTGATAAAGCATTTACGCTGTCTAATATTTATTTAGGCCTAACACATGAATACTCATTTATTTTCTCATATAGGCCTAAGTACATTAAATTATTATGAATATTAGACCTACTATGAATGTCATTATTTATGATTAGGCCTCTTATTTTAATGCCGGATGTTATATCAATGAAAATAATAATACTATTATTAACAATGGGATTTCTATGATCAATATTATATTATATTGCCAATAATATTGATATATGATTATATAAACATTCTTTCCTTAATTACACATAAAATTATCATTATTTATAATGAAAATTATACAAAACCTTTTGATATTGTTATTTATTAATTAGTTACACATGGTTATAAAACTGTTGCGTCTAATGATAATGATAGTAAAATAAATAATAATAATTTATTATGGTAATATTTAATTTATTACATAAGCATAAATAATCAAAACACATTTTCCAAATTTCTATATACAATAAGCATATTAATATATATATATATATATATATATATAATATATATAGGCCTATATTATAATGTTTCTGTTTCTAATTTATCTATTTGTTTAATAATAATAATATTATTCATTAAAAATTATCACATACGCTGTTTATATTGTAATAACGGTGCTACGCAACAAACCTAATATGTAAGTCTGTATAGGCCTATATAAAAGACGAAAGCAGGACACATGTTTAACTAAAGAGATCCCATATGATAATAATAATATATTATTATTATTATTATTGGAAAGTCTTGTATTTGAGTCCTACTTAAGCTAATGCTTACCTCGTTTTCCTGTCATATTGGTGTTTGATGTTATGCTGGGGAACGCATTCTTGTCTGTTGGTTCTCCCCATAATTCGCCTTCGCAGATCGTTTCCATGAAGTATATACAATTAACTATAATAAATAATATAAACCAGCTATCAGTCTTCGTACAAGATACAAAAATGAAAATCCTTTAGAAAACTGTGCGTATTATATAAACATTAGTAGGCCTAACTAGGTAACGGTCGATATGTACGCGGAGGCGCGATGACAAATTTTACGTATCTATACGCAGATATCTCGATAGTCCGTTACTAAGCTCGCAGTAAGAAGACGGTGGTTACTACACAGTGAGTGTAAAAAAGCATGTAACCATTCACGACGTCTGATATATCAAATAAAGTGGCATGGAAACCGTGTCATACGTCAGTCAACAATCCATAACTATAAATTGAAGTATACATGATACCATGTTTTTGGATTGAAAAAATGGATTGTGTTATTGTTTTAAAATCAGTACCGTATTAACAATGAGTTTAGTTAAATTAAGGAACGTAAATGATATAGGCTAATTGAACTAGAAAAAATAACGGTCAAAACAATCAATTGTGGATGATTTTTTTTAGACGAGATTGTAATTTCAGAACAAATAAGTTTAAGAATAGACCACTCCCCCCCACACCAAATAATCTAACTTTCCAAGCTTAAATCGAGGTATACAACCGAGAGTGTATATATAACCGCTTACAAACACCGCATAATGATAGGTTCTATTTTAGGTACAATTTTAGATTTCTTCTTGTTATGTTTAATATTTAAAGTAATTTTTTCTTTGACACTTATGTTTTACCTATTTCGCTTATAGGTCTTCCAGTTCAAACAAATTCCAGCCATTTTGGTTTATTTTTTATTTTTTTATGATAATACGATGTAAAGTATGGTGCCACGTATGTTCCATATAGATAATCGAAAATTAAATAATTGATATATATATATATATATATATATATATATATATATATATATATATATACATCATGTAGCAAAGCTCCCAACGAATGTTGTCCTATAAATATTTTTTTTATTATTTATAGGTCATTCGTTGAGAGCTATGCTTGATGTATTTATGTCCTTTATTTGCCTTTCTTTGATGATTTATATAATTTAACAGTGTCAACGGACATCTTGATTTATGTCATATGCTATTATTTGTTTCCAGCCAGTGTAATATAGTGTATATGACGTTATTCCAATCTGTTCGACCATGAAGCATCTGTAGTCTAAGGTTATGACGTTCTCCTTAACAGCGAGGGGTCGTAGGTTCGAGCCCTGTCAGAGGCATTTTATTAGGCCTACACAATTTATTTATTCGAACACTGTATTTACCTTTCTCCGATTATTATAATATATAATCTAACATATTATGTAATATAGGCCTATATGTATTTATGTATAATTTACTATATATATATATATTTATATATATAAAATAAATAATAATACAATGCTCTAATATATAGGAGCATGATGCTATAAATATATATCATGTTCCTATTTGAGCACTGTATTATTATCTATTTTGATTTATACATTATTTGTGTTCCCAGTGCTAATCAGCAATTGATTTGATTTATGATTTACAAGGTACTACATACAAGATTTTATGAAGCTTGAAAATTTGCTAAGGGCTATGTGTGAGCCCTCGAGATGTATGAAGAGAGCGAGGCTTAGATCAGTAATTATATAGTACGGAGCTCTGTAGTCTAAACGGTATTACGCTAGATAAACGTATGTCCAAATTGGGATTCAAGTCTAAGATATTCCGATTACCGTTCATTTGCATGTTCTTCCCATCAAGACACGTTTTTTCTTCACGTACATATATACGTATATGACCTACATACACACACACACCCCCCCCCACA